CCTTCCAGGTCAGCTAATCCTTTCAAAAAAAAAAAAAAAATGGAATATGGAACAGCCGGGATGAGATGGGGTGGATTGGAATTGGGTCTATTTCTTGCTCACTTCCTTGTGAAGTGCCCTGATGCTACTCAACTTGTAAGTAGGCATCCACCGGTTATATTTTTAACAGGGCCGTATCCCTAAATCATAAATAATAATGAATAAAAATAACAGAGCACCCCCAAACAAACACACTTACACGCGCCGGATTGGGCAAGGATGGAGATAAAGTAATTAATAAACGCAATTACTTACAACTTTGACGTCATAAGTAATGATGCAGCATAAGCATAGATTTGCAACAAAGGTAAGGAAAAGTGCAAAATGTCAATACTTTTGATCCTCATCGTACAAAACGAAGCAAATCTTAGTCAAGCGCAAGCAAATATTTGACTAAACCAAGACTTAAACCGACTTAAAATTTAAATGTTTGCAAAAGAAAAGTGAAATATGATAATAAAAACCATGACGTCATCTTATACGTAAATAAAATATTTGTGAATTTGATGTAGCGTTGAAAATGAAAAAACAAATTGTTGATGGCATTACGTCAGATAACACAAAATATGCTTTTTTGAATGATTTAAAAGTAGTTAATATAAAAACATAAAAATCGTCGATCATTTGACCATAGACAATGGAAAAATTACAGTCATAATTTGTAAATTTCAGTCTAAAACAACTTCAAACGTCATTTACTAGAAAAACCTTAGTTCATTTGTTGGTGTCGCATTTGGGTCATAAATGTAGACAAGAAAAACATTTGCGATGCGATTGCGATTGCGAAATGCGGCTCTCTCTATCGTCTGGAGGTTTCGAAAGATGCTCTCCAGAGATGGCGCTAGTAAATTTGGCTGACATGACGTCATGCTAAAAAGTGATGGGTTTTGTGAGAGCAAATGTAATAATAGTTGAAAATTTTGTACTTTTGCTTAATTAAGAAAAAATAAATATACAATTGTTCAAAACAGCGTTTTCCTCATTCATCCTTTATTGTTTTAAGAGGAATATAGACAGTTTAAATATTTTTTTCTTGACCGCAATTCGCACACGCACTAAATTAAAAGCTGGAGTTTTGTGCGTTCGTAAATTGTGATTTGAGAAAATAGGTTGACAATAATCTTTTGCACTTTTGCTTTACAATCATTTTTCAATGCAGATAAATGCATAAATTATTCAAAAATAGGCATATCTTTGAAATATTATGATTTTCCACAAGCAAATTTTCACAAAAACTTGAACTACTTACAACTGACGAACGCATCCAATAATCTGGATGTCTTAGGATGAGTTCGTCATTTTTTCCCAAGGAAATACGATACAGTTCAAGCTACTTTACCGATTTATTAGGGTACTTTTGCCAATGAATTAATAAATAAATGACAACAATTAATCTCATTATCAACCATACTCGGAAGAATTTTCTTCGCATAAGCGCGAACACATCCGCGCTTTCATGAAAAGTCACGCCTGTAGATGTCAGGACTGCTGCTTTATGTTTCGCAAGGTGGCGCAGCGCGCAGGGTACCGACTACCGAGGCTGAGGTCTCCAGACTCTCCACCACGATTTAACTTGGAAATGGCCGATGGGGAAGGTATCACCCAAAAACGGACGCCCTTTTACACAGCTGCATAAAGAGAATGAATTATTGGCATAGCTGACCATACGTCCCCTCCCCCTCTCCGCACCAGCTCAATAGGAAATATCGCCTATTCTCCTTAGTCAGTTATATTCTGACTAATTTCTCACTCTTCCCAGTAAACCTTAACATGCATGATGCAGATGTCCACTGCGTAAGTCGTGTGCTTCCGTAAGTGTGCCAACTATATAGTGTTGCCTACACTCTACAGTGCCTACTGCTTCCCCATTGTCGTTATAATTGGTGATTCTCAGGTCAAAAGTTACACAGTGGTCTCAGAGAACAATCGTTTCAACAAATTAACGATTCAAACCGTTGCATTCTACTTATATTCCGGTCAGTTCTGCTACTAAACGATTCCGGCAAAACACTCTTTAGGTTATGTATTAGCGAACCACCACACAAAATTCGCCCAATCAATGGTCAGTTATTACTGCTGTGCTGAACCGTCATACGCTATATAGCCTATTGCAGTCAATATTTTCATAACGATACTGACTGACGAAACACAACGTATTCGCGGATTCGCACATACGTTGGCACCCAGGTGGCCTGTCAGCAGCCGCACAAATCCGCACAGCGCAGCCGGGATTTGACATTGAGATGGTACACCGTAAAGCATGCCTTTCCACACAGGCACAAGCACAGGGACACAAATTCTCAAAATCCAAACTTATTCCAATACTGGTCAATTACGAATAGGCATAAAGTTTTGAGCAGGGATGCGGAGCCGGAGCCGGAGCCGGAGCCGCCGGAGCCGGCATATTTTGCCCGGAGCCGGAGCCGGAGCCGGAGCCGTGAAACAATATAACCCGGAGCCGGAGCCGGAGCCGGAGCCGTCAAAAAAGGGGGCGACTCCGGCTCCTTTTCTTACGAGGAAACAATTATTTACCTAGTTCGGTTTGACAGTACAAGGCGTAAAACAATGTGGTATTCAAAATAGCCTTGTTATACAAATACAGAAGCAACGTGTACTAATCCCATCGCCTTTTTTCTTCCACCCGTATTTAATTGATCGCATAGTGGATGTACTGAGTAGAAGCCGGAGCCGAAGCCGCCGGAGCCGGAGCCGCCGGAGCCGGATCATTTTACTCAGAGCCGGAGCCGGAGCCGGAGCCGCCATGACATTTCACCCGGAGCCGGAGCCGGAGCCGGAGCCGATTTTTTTCTCCGGAGCCGGAGCCGGAGCCGGAGCCGTCTGAAATTTCCACGGCTCCGCATCCCTGGTTTTGAGGCTTTCTCAGGTTCATTCTTCTTTCAACACACGCGGCAGACTGCAGCAGCTGCAGAACATCTCACAGAGCTGCGCTGGATGCAGTCATGAGCTGGGACACGGTTTGTGACCAATGACCGATCGGGGTGCCAGCCTCCTCCCGGCACGCGATGCACTGGCCGCAGCGCAGTCGATGTCGGGGCACCGCCGGCATTCGCCGACAGGGTTCCATCCGATTCGGTGTATTGGTGGCAGCCCGAACAGTGACCCACGCGAAGCTGGCGGACGTCGATGGCCGATGAGCGATGCCCTTCCGCGACCGGCGGTGGCAGTCGGTCCCACATCAAGAACAGATACCAGTCATGCGGTCAGTCGGCGACGGCGCTGTCGCGAGCCGATCTGATGGTCGCGCGGTGGGCGTTGCCGACGTCCACCGGGACCGTCGACTGGGGGAGCGCGGCCGCCTCTTGGCCGCCGCCTCTGGTCGGCGAGCACGTTGCGCTGTGGGATGGCATCCACTGCAAGTCGTTCACTGTGAAGCGGTCGTTTGACCGGACCTGGCAGGCGGGGAAAGGGGGCCTCAGATGAAGTAAAACCATCCCTCAGGCCAGCTTGAACTGGCTCTCCACCTCACCATGTTAGATAAGCGGACACCCTCGTGATCATCGCAGCGATGATTGCCAATTGGTGTGTCATTATGGGAGAGGATGCCAGCCTCCTTTGCAAGATAGTCTGCCTTTAATATAGTGCAGCCCGACCCATTGCCTGTGGCGCAGACTGGGCTTGATAATGCAGTGCAGGACACACCAAATGTAAGCGGCCATCTGTACCCCCTGTGCAGTAGGGCTGACTCAAGAGCCCAGAGTTGCCCTCCCCCCACCATTCTGTGCACGTGATAACTGGATGGGACATGCCATGGTCAGCATCTGTTCAAAAGCTGCCCTAAGCATGTAAAGCTCCACTGGCATGCTCAAGCATGGTCACAGTCAGTTCTCACTTCTCAGTTGAACCTCCAATGGAAACCCATCACAAAGTAGAGATCAGGGCGCCTCTCACACTGCGGCACACTCAACGACTGAGGCACCATCTCATCACTTGCAGGTGGTTCTTGCCAGGAGCAATGCCAGCCACGCACATCAGGTGATAACAGCAGTGTACAACTGCAATCTACAAGCATCCATGTTCTTTCTGGTTTCCTCCTGTTGAGATCCACTGCCATGCATGAACTTGATGGGCTTTTGTTGCGCTCCTCCCATGTGCAGACAGGTTTCTGCTGAAACAAAGCAAAGCAAATGTGATTAATAATGGCCCTGTTTCACCATCCAGACACTGTGTGCACTGGTAGCTACGGCATACCATAGCATCACTCAAATGACGTTGCATGTGATCTCTTAGTTTATGATCAATCGCGTTTGGAACAGAGTGAGAGGTTCTGAAAAACCGTACCAAGAACAGAGGTTTGAGTTCAAATACTGCTAGCATGCTGCTGGTGCTCATACCGCAGCGTGCTAGCGTTCTGGGATGCTGTCATAGCTTAGCGTCACAGTGAAGTTTGTTGACACTGCCATGGAAACCCAATGCTCTGACACACGCAGCGCACTAGAATATAGAATGCAATAGAATGCTCTAGTGCGTGCTCTGCCGTGAAACACCACCCATGAACGTTGGTTGCATGACCAGGATGGAGCAGTGTGGCAGACAGTGATTTTAATTTTAATTGCACTTCCTAGAGATTAAAATGTTGTTGGTGAAATTGCTATTCATTATTCCTATTACCATTGTCTAAATTTCACATTTCAAGACAGCATCAGCATTGACATGTTATATAAAATAAGGTTTAGACTTCAGGTGGTCCCAGGTTCAGCTATTAAGTAAAACAAGGGCAAAAAATTGTCAAAAAAAATATTTAAAAAAAAATACCTGCCTCCATCAACACCTCATCTAATCTAACCTCATCCTCATCTAACAAGGCCCTAAAAGCAAAAACCGCTTGAATAACAATGTAATATTTTGCAACCGCTGCACCACTACTGTCACGTACGCTATCCCTAGATTGGTTGCTGGTAAGTAGTGGTTGTCGTCATCAACTCGTCATGGAGCAGCTGATTGGGATGGGCGGGGCCTATTTTTATCCAGGCGATAGAGAGAGCCCGAAATGCGAATTGCGATATTTTTGCGATGCGGTGGGATGCGATCGCAACGCTGACGCGCGGGGGTCACTATTAATACTGTGAATTGAATCTATCTCTGTGAAGTGAAACCAAGCGAAGTTCCCGTAGGCTGTATTCTGTAATGCCATTAGTAGCACATTCTCTCTTTATTTGTACTTATCACGGCCTGGCACGCCCGCCCACGTTACATGCCACAAAGTCACCAAGCTGTGAAGACAAGGTTTTCAAGGTTTTCAGCTTAAACCAATCTGAATCGTATCTGAATCTGCTCAAGATCGTGACCTGATAAAGATAAATGAATTAACTCTCGTATATTTATTTATTATAATCAATGGTGAGCATTCTTTGCAGGGTAAGACACTTCTATCTTCATTATTAATTGAAGGGTTCTCTCTAGTTCTCGGTGGAATCTGAAAACGGGGCTTGTGGGATAATCTAATCAAGGATCTTGAAATTTGCTTGACCTAATCACATGACAATTGCCCGGACTGGAAAAAATACATGCTATGCCAAATATGTCTAGCATAGTGGCGGGATTGCGTCAAAAATTTCAGCGCACGTCCGGAGTAACTTCGTTTGCGCCAAATTCAGTGTATGGCAGCGGCTGAATTTTCGGCACAGGGCGGGCGCATAATTTTTTGACGAAAGACGGTCACCGAATGGTGAATTTAGTCGGCACGCTGGTCAATCAATCAGCAGATTCGCACTGTGGGGTGCTTGTGGCTCTGGAGAGGTTTCGGCACGAGACGTCCACGCCCCAGTTGTCGTGTTCTCGAACTGGCGAGCCGCTCTGAGTCTATTCGGCGGAGGAGCAGCCGCCCAGGTGAGGCCTCAACCCTCGGTGTGGAGAAAGGTATGGAAGACCTTGTTGAACATAGTCGTCGTCGTTAAGTAGGTAATACTGCAGTGGGTTCCTGCCCACTGCAGTATCGAGGGAATGAGAACGCGGAAGACCTGGCGAAACAAGCGGCCGCCCTGCCCTCAAACGCCCGCTTGCTGACCAGGGTGGTTCATTGTGCGGTCTCGCATCAATGGCGCGACAACTGGTCCCGAGTTACTATTCAAGCCACTCCTCAGGAGCACGCCGCCGCTCCCTATCCCCGGAGAGGACTGAGGGGACGCTGTTTCGGTGCACCAGATGAGGGCGGGCCACTAGGGCCGCTCGCTCCAGTACGTGCACCGAATCGGCTGTCTCCACTCCGCGCAGTCCGCGGCGTGCCAGCAGTGCCCAGACAAGCGGTGCCACGCGGCGCTCTGCGCCGTGTACCGAGAAGAGGCTGATGTGCCGTAGCACGTGCTGCTCCGCTGTTCGGCCCTCGCTGACTCCCGGCTCCCGCCAGCCTCAAACACACCGCTCCGCCGATATTTGTGGCTCCGGAACTTCCGGTTCCAGCCTTGTTTCACCGTTCACGACGCTTCAGTGTACTTAGCGTATTGAGGTATTGGATTTCCATGGAAATAAAGAACTTTCGGATGCTCAAAGATGAGAGAGTCCAAGGCCCAGGAACACTCCGGCTAGTTGATATAGCCTTGATCGGTAGATGTGCACATGTGGTTTATATAAAAGTCAGTGGCTTAATTTTGGCACAAATAGACCCCCAATTTTCGGCGCAAATCATGCAGAAATTTCAGCGCAAAATCTGCTCCGAATTTCGGCGCAAGGGGCCTCAAGGGCCCCTTGCGGTAGGGGTCGGGGTCTACGCAACAAGCTCTGTTTAGCATGGACTCCGGCTCTGTCAATCCGTCCATTCATACATTCGAGCTAAATTTATTAAAAAAAGGCATCCAACGTAGTGTATGGATGTTTTCCAGTCTGGACAATTGCCAATTGGCAATTGGCCTGTTAAAGGCACCTAGGGGGAGAATATCCCAATAATCATGTGACTAGAAATTTAAAAAATCAGTATGTTTCTATTGTCTTTTTGCCGCTCAATTGCATCAGCAGCTAAGGGGCATTCACTATCTTTTTCCCAGGCATGAGCTAAACAACGTTGTTCAGCATGTCGTTCTTTAAGAACCTGAAAAGCTTGTTCTCCGTCGGCGGTGAGACGAATGCATCCAAACGTCGGAGGGCGCTCAGCAATGTCAAGGTGGATGCCAACCCGGAGGAATTCTGGGAGCTACAGGGCGAAGTGGGCGATGGAGCCTTCGGTAAAGTCTATAAGGTGAGCACGGCTAGGGACAGAGTTGTTGAAAGCTAGTTCTCATATACATACTTAATTTTATGTTGTTGCTTATAAGTCTTGGGTGTTTACCAACACCCTCTGACATGTTCCTTTTCTCACTAACCTTTATTTTTGGTTTCACCCACCAGTAAAGTTATGGAAGATGTGCGGCAATTGCAACTTGTATGTTTACCACTGCCGATATCCCACCTTTCCCGATCTGTCATGACCTCTGCTGACCTGTCTTTGACCCCTGCCGTCTGTGTCCTCCGCTGACCTCCGGTGACATCCACTGACTCACATCCGACCTCTGTTGAACCGCTCCCGTGTCGCCCTGCGCAGGCGGTCCACCGGATGTCCGGGCTGGTGTCGGCCGCCAAGGTGTGCGAAATGTCCGAGGACGACGAGCTCGACAACTTCATGGTGGAGATCGACATCCTCACGGAAATGCAGCACAAGAACGTGGTCCGACTCATCGACGCCTACCTGATGAAGAAGCAGCTGTGGGTGAGTAACAGCGGAGGATGTGACGTGGTGTTCCGACGCCTTGGTGAGGGTGTCTCCCCAGTCGTTTTCCATTTATACATTACGTATTACCGTTGACAAGGAAAGATCGGTTTAGAAAATTGTGTGATTCCTCGAACTGTCAAGGCATGATACCTACAACGATTGTGGGTATGAATGGGATGAGTAATAATATTTCGGTGGATGCCAACTGCATGTGATATAATATGTCTTTTTACTGGACCATTTTTAATGAGCTGAAGGTTCGAATCGTAGCACAAAGACGTAGGTAAGGGATTGCTACGTCGCGATATTTTGCTTTTGATTCTGTCATATACATTATACAGCTATGTAGTTGTGCTACTTTAATTTGAAACGACCGCATAACATGCTGCAGGAAGGTATTTTTTATGATGGAGTTAAAACCATTTTTTGAGAATTGTGGAATTAAGGACGATCATTTAAAAATGACATGGTGAGGAGCTGTCAGTGATTGGTCCGTTTCTGCTCGGCAATGTTCAGAAATTTGTCAGTCGAACATGTGGTCGTTCCTCCTCCAAGGAGTAAAATAGCTCGTGCCTAACAGAAAATGTGCTGAGCCAAGAATCAGTCATCAATGGTAGGACGCTTGAAGCAGACTTTATTTAGGGAAGCCACCTGACTCGTTTGTCATAGTGACGACAAACCGACGCCTGACAGCACTGTTGTGATTGGTATGTTATGTCATGGACAACGGATTGGTGGCTGGCAACAACCGAAGTTGCGCTCGTCATGGGCGCATTTTCATGTGGCCTAGGCATACATTCAGTAGGCACTAGGCACTGTTCTTTGTATACATCATTTTAGTTTTTGTGACCTATACTGCGACCCCTGCACAGCAAAGTCGGCTTTAACCCGCGCACCGACGGGGGTCTGCGCCAACTTAGTACCGACGGGGGGGGGGGGGCGGATGACCGCCCCCCCTGAGATCTCGAGAACGAAGCAAGATAGCGATAAGCGGTAAACGGCATCGGATACGCACGGACAAGATCTACAATTTTTACCAAGGTCATTTTCAGGTCAGGTCAAAGATGACGTCACAGGGGTCGAAAAAGTCAAAATGGCGGCGCTAGATATGGAGAGGGTTTTTCTCGAATAACTTTCGAAGTAGTCAAGATAGGAACAAACTAAGAGCATCATCGTGATCCTCTCGTCAATCCGCATCGAATGATATATATGTTGACCTCGAAAGGTCAAGGTCAAAGGTTGACCTCAGGTCACGTGACCTCGAGGTCATCATGTATATCATTCGATGCGTCTTGACGAGCTGAACACAATGAGACCATCCGCGCGGCTGTATCTTGTTCCTGTAAGGAGTTATTGGCAAAAAACCTTTGGTGACCTTTGATGACGTCACATGACCTTACAGCTGCCCAACAGCAAAACAGACCTCAAGGTAGTGAAGGTTGATCGTATGTGAAGTCATGTATGGTATATGGGGCCATTCCGACCCGTTTTAGTGGTAAAAACAGGGAGTTGATTTTTCCCCCATTGACTTATAATGGGGAGGTCGCGAAATTGACCTGACCTTAGGTCACCGACATCAAAATTCCGAGATATACAAATTGTAGCTACTAATGACCTAATAACATCCTGCGACTTTCAAAGGCCTCCGACATCTACTGTAGCTCTGGCACGGTGACAAAGTTGCAAAAAAGTGACTTGAGGTTGGGTCATTCAAAGTGACCTGGTGACCTGACCTTAAAAGTTAGGAGGTTTAAACTTGCACACCATGTGTAAAATTGATGAGGGAATAGTCATACCAAATTTCGCCCGCTATCCGCGAAAAACCTCAGGGGGGGCGGATATCCGCCCCCCCCCCCCCCGTCGGTGCGCGGGTTAAAATGATACACCGACTGTAATGTTACTCTGTTATGGGATGTGTATTTGCATACTTACACAGGATGCAATATGGGTCAATCGGGTGTTGCTGCTGTCTTTCCCTTTTCCTTGACCCATGAAGTAGATTCGCGCGAATTTAGCTATATTTTGACTTTTAAGTGGTATTATTTTGATATGTGGCTTTTGTGAAACGCGAAGAAGAAGGTACGGATTACGCGGCAGAAAGAGCAATATGGATTGCTTCATCCTTTCTACCGTCCGCTCCAGCCACCCACTTCTGCCAAATCAGCCTGGGCCGAGTATTCCAGCCTTCCGGCTCGGTTCTCCGGCAGTAGTGCCGCAGTACTAAGTCTCTGCGGCCATTGTTTGTCGCCCAAATATCCTTCTGATGTATGGCACGCCACGAATTAGACGGCGAACAATGACTGTAACGCAGCCCGGCGTACTATACAGCCGGCGGTAGAGACGGAGAAACGGACCGGCCGCCGCGCGGTCACTTGGGAAGGAGGGATCGGAGGCTTCAGTCTGTAACCGGCTTAGAAAGCTTCCCCGTGAGGCTCTTTGTGTTGGGACCTGGGAGTCTTCTTACGTTTTAAATGCGTTATTACGGTGCGGCATGCCCTTGTGAATCCTATTGTAGATATGCTAATTATAGCGGCAGACGCTCGGCTACCTAGTAAATGTGTTGGCCCTTACTTTCATTTTATTGGAAATTTTAGCGACTTAAGTACTTTAGAACTACAAGTCGCTCCAAAGATATCCGTTTCGCCCCTTCCTCATAAAAAATCATTATTAGCGGTATGCGATCTTCAAACGAGCGTCTTAATTCTAAGCAAACATTCGTGTTCGAGTTTTGAGGAGGGCGCTACTGCCGCTACGACAGCATACCATTTCTGTGTAGTGGTTTGCTCAGTCGCATGCTTGAATCACCCGCAAGCTATTCGTTTCCATTCGGCATTCTGAGGGAGTGTTTATCTCATCTTTCGACCTATGACGTCATATGCAGACGTCATCCTATAAACCACCCCCGGGGTGGTAACTTAACCTCCCGTGGTGCTAATGCCGCGTGGGGAAATGACATCATCGTTGATTGTTCGTTGTCCAATGATGACGTCCCTCGGCCGTAAACGACGAGTGACGTCATGTCATCTGCGGCTTCGCTAAAGAGTTTGACGAGTGTGCTTCGATTTTAATTTTATGCATGCTCGCATACATTTCCAATTATCTACTAGAACCAACATTAATGGAAGACGGTCACGGTTCTACGTTATCACCGTGACTATTGTATCCGTTATTTCGAGTGTCATTTGCCGTGGTTGATTTTTCGTTTTCATTGTCGTACATTCCTAGTCCGTGGCCCGTTTTGCCGGCGATTGGACGTTTACTGTTCGACAAGGCCCGGCTCCAATCATCACTAACCTCCTCTCTCCCTTGTCCGCCACTCCCAGATGCTGCTGGAGTTTTGTGACGGCGGTGCCGTCGACTCCATCATGGTCGAGCTGGACCGCGGCCTCAAGGAGCCCCAGATCGCCTACATCACACGCGGCATGGTGGAGGGACTCCAGTACCTGCACCAGCACAAGGTGGTTCACAGGGACATCAAGGCCGGAAACGTGCTGCTCACTACAGACGGAGGCGTCAAACTCAGTGAGTTGGCGAGCGGGAGTGGGACTGGGATACACTCATTGAGTTGGGGAGTGGGATCTCTCAGAGGCGTCAAACTCGGTGGGTTAGGATTAGTGGGAGTTACAAGTGGTGGCTAGGGAACTCGGAGGCGTCAAACTCAGTGTTTTGGGGAATGGGATTGGGGTGCACTCGGGGAGCTGGGGAGTAGGAATGGGAATCTTCGGAATGCGTCAAAGTTCAAACTCAAGATAAGACGAAAAATGAACTTTGTCGAGAACCTTGATGGTAAACCTATAGGAATGGATTCTGGCCTTGCAGGTTTTTTTTTGGCGATTTCAGCAATGTTCTTGTATTGATGCTAAATGTAATGGGTATTGTATTCGTGCATTTTTTGCCAGGTGCTAAATTTGTTTTATATTATTACATGTATCTGGGTGATTATCCTATTTAGGTCGTTGGTGACAAAGTATTTCTGGGCGTTTGTGGTGTTAGCTGTGCTATAAATAGGCCATCTGTGTATCAGTATCAGTGTGCTATCGCGTCGGTGCATGACATCGTTATACCCGCGCTAGTTAATTGTGCCGGGGTCTGTCGGGGGTTCGTGACGTAGACGAACGTATTACGTTAACTCTTCCTATTATCTGCGCTGCTGTGTTGACAATATTTACCGATATATTGAACTATATGACAATATTTCCCCCGTGTTAACTTTCAACAACACACGGCTCATCAAAATCCCCAGCGTAAATGACACCTGACAAGGCTCAAATAAACTCACTATTAGCGCTTACGTAAACCCCAACTAACCCTCTCTTACCCCCTTCCCCCCACCCGCAGCTGATTTTGGCGTCTCGGCCAAGAACAAGCACACAATGCAGAAGCATACGACTTTCATCGGCACTCCCTACTGGATGGCCCCGGAGGTGATCGTATGTGAAACGTCGCCAACCGACACGTACGACTACAAGTCGGACATCTGGTCACTGGGCATCACCATGATCGAGTTTGCGCAAAAGGTGCGGAACGGATTTGGATGGAGTGAGGGAGAGGAGGGGAGGAGAGGAGAGGAGAGGGGAGCGTGAGGAAGCGCTACCGCGAAAGCCCGTGTTGCTCTTTGGCCCGGCGTGTTTTCCGGTGTGTCTTTTTGTGTTGCGCTCTATAAGCTATAAGCAAAATGACACATTTTTTTATATAATAATACAATTTATTATCAAATAATGAATTCCCTTCCATGCTATGTAGGGTCGATACAGACCGTCTTAGATAGGGCCGCAGACGTTCGTCAATTTAACTCAAAATTATGTCCTAAAGTGAAGTGTAATAAAACCGTTGGCACTCGTTTACCGACGTGTCTTAGTGTTCCCGTCAGGGTCGTCCTCGGTGCGTGGGAAAGGGAAGTGAGGAGTAACAGCCCATTTCCGTCGCGTGCCGCCATTGTCCTTAGATGTCCAAATGGCGTGTGTGGGCCCCCGCCTGTGGTCCATTGTGTTCAATTGTTGCCGCTCGGCCATTTGAGTCAGGTCAGGCAAGAAGTTATTGTTTATTTCGTTATCAGTCACGTCTGGTCGACGGAAATTTTAACTTTTTGAAAAAGAAGTTTTCACGTCAATTTTTTCCCGGCATATCTGAATATAATAAGACCGATTGAGAACAGCCCCATCGACCCTGAGGTCGGCAGCATTCCGAGATAATGAAGCTAACGTAGCACCGGAATCATGGAAAGTCGATAGTAGCTATCCAGAAGGGTCTCATCCGTGCGCTTGTGTCGGCGATTTGCATTGTTTGGCGCCGATGATTGGCTGTTTGGTGGTTTTGATGGCTTGTTTGAAGGCTCTGTTCATTCTAACACACCACATTTCTGTGCGGACTCTCGCCACCTTTTCGACCCAAAGACCCTCTCAACTTGAGTTGTATCGATCATGTAGATATCTGTTTGCATTGTCACTCTCGCAGCGCAGGTGAAGCCGCACTTTGCGTTCGCACAGCTGTTAACGGATTTATAAGTTTCACGTTCATTTCTGCGGTTTATGATAAAAAGGTGATAGACGACCCGCGTCCATGTATGTAGAGCACCTTTACAGATTGTTGCTAGTTCATAGCCCAGGCGTAAGCCCTGTAACTTGTCTTAACCCGTCTCCTCTGCTTAACTCTTGGTTTCTGATCTGACCCTTGACCTATGATGACCTGTGGTATTTAACCAGCTTTTTTCTAACTGATTCGGGAGTCGGGACTATGACCATTTGACTTGCTCTTTGCGCCCTACTACCTGGCCTGTTATCACTGACCCCACTGACCCCTGATGTCCGACCTGCACAGGAGCCTCCGTACAACGAGCTGAACCCGGTGCGGGCCATGCTGCGGATACAGAAGCACGATCCACCGACCCTGGACCGTCCGAGTCAGTGGAGCCGAGAGTTCAACGCCTTCATCGCCGCCTGCCTGAAAAAGGAGCCCGAGAAACGAGCAGACACCGGCCAGCTTCTCGAGGTGGGTCCCGGGGGACGCAAAACGCTGGCATATAGGCAGGGTTTGGGAAATAGTGATGGCGACTTCACGGCGCGTAAACTAACGGCCATGAGTGATAGTTGTGTTTTGTGTGAATGGGGGGGGGGGGAGCTTGGAGATTGTTAGTTGTGTTTTGTGTGAATGGGGGGGGGAGCTAAGAGATTGTTGGACGTGCTTAGAAGTGTGATGATAGTCTCATGTTAGGAGCTAAGCGGACGGCTGTGATGTAACGGAGTTCCATTTGCTCGTGTCTTTTAAAGGAAGTTAGCAAAGTTATCCTGCATGCATAATTTATCGTTGCTTACGGGTCGTCTATCATCGAAACACAGTCTATGGTTCCACCGATTCTCCAACCCAACGTCGCTCTGTGCCAGGCTGATCCCTCACCGTCTGGCCTGTGTCGTCATGGCTGCCAATGTCGGTGTAGCGATACAGCGACTATCTGGGTCCCGGTGGAGCGGGCATGGTCTGCCGCAGCCGAACCGCGGTTTATGGCGTGCTGTAATGTCGGAAGTGACGGCCCGTGGAGGCCATCCGGAGGGAGTGTTCATGGATACTATCTCATCGGAGCTTTACTTACGCTCATTTCTATGTAGATTTTATTGAAAAAGCGTGATGGGTAGACTTTAAAAGAATCGATGGCGGCGGGAACTATAAGCAGTCGAGAGGAGGGTTAGTTTTTCGTCACATGCTAAGCCACCAGAAGCACACTATGACCGATTCATCTGAGGTAATAATCGCCGGGATATAGGCTATCTGCCTCGATACCGTATCGCGCGGCCGCTTTGGTTCGACGGCGCCGATGGCTCAGTGCCAATCAAACTACCCATGACGTCATGTATGGGGACGACCCGGCCGGGACTGAGGCCGTTACGGTGCGCCGGCTGGCTGGCCTCGCTACCCCTAATGCGTCCCTGTCTATCCAGTCTTTACACGTGCTATGGTCAGCGCACCGTTCGATCACCACCCCGGCGCGTGTGTTGTTCCGCATCCGTCGCTCCTCGCCCGGCGAGAGAGAAGGTGTTTGTGTTGGAAATCGCCCGGCACTTGGCTCCGATCCTGACGCGGCTTGTTTCAACAGTGGACCGTGGTCACGCGGTCGGGCGCTGCAGAGGTGTCTGGGATGAGATTGGCTGTCGTTTTTCACAGTTGTGTGGCTTTAGCGAGATGAAGCGGGTAGCAGGTGTAGGCTATGTAGTGAGATTGCGTATTTCTGTCAGTTGGACGGGTTTGATCGCATTCGTCAGATAGACGCGCCTACACTTACGAATCAAATAGACGGGACTTGGTATCCAGACAGACTGAATGGTTTGAATCGGCTATTCAATACCAGAAGCTGACGTGAGGCTTATCTTTACGCGCCGCAGCACGGTGTATTGCGTGTATGCGAGTCGTAAACGGAAGATAAGATGGCGCGTCGATGTATGTCAGAAATGCGGTATGTTAGGTTCTGGGACATATTGTGTGACCACGTTGATATATCAGATAGTAGCAGTCTCGCAATGAATACCTTCAGAGTTCAGATAAGGTAGCAGACCGGAGGTTGGTTCAAGGTGGATCTGCAACCTTGTAAGGCTTTTGTATGGCCAGCCGCCAGATAGGCGAGGGCTTCCACTTATCAATGGGAATTAATAACCGTAGAATAATTCATGTGGTTAGGTGCAGCGGCCGAGCGTATGCGAGATTCATTTGATCAGGTGTAACTACATACGAGATCTGGCGGCATTTAAAGTCGATTGTGGCATCTATTTTTGGGAACATTTGATTTATGTTATTCGACGAGGGCGTGACCCGAAGTCACTGGTCTTCCGTAACCCGTTTCGCTGGAGACGTTTTTAATCATCCATCAACTCAGTGTTGTCGACACGCCCCTGTTACCAAGCGCCCCGCCTCCTGTCAATGCTGCAGCTGTTTAACTGATACCACCTTCCTCCCTTCCCCTCCTCCCTGTCTGTTACAGCTACCGTTTATCAACCGGACCCTGGACAACAAACCGATCCGAGAGCTGCTGCTCGAGTACAAGGCCGATGTGGACGAGGGCTTCGAGGACGCCGTCGAAGACGTAAGGATGGAGACGGAGTGGAATTATTACGGTGGTGCTTTTGTTGCCGTTTTGCCAGGATGTCTTGTGTGCTAACTGGTTTTAGCGAGATGCAATCTGTTCTCTGCAGCTTTATAGCTAATACCCAGTCCTTCGTTTAAAACAAAACGACGCCTTGCTGTGAATGACTATTTACTATGTGTACGCCTCGTCACGTATGCGTCGCTTTTTGCTGCCTTGTCTCGTCTGAAACGTGTTGTCTTAATTTTTCACATGTGTCTCCTGATGCTTTGGAGCCAATGGCGCTTTTCATTCCTATCCCTCATTCCTGCTTTTCGTCGTGTATGTGATAATGTCCCGATTGTGATGAATTGGGATGCATTCCATTACACGCTGCTCAGACGCCTGGACGGCGTCGAAAAATCGCAGAAAAAGAGAAAAAGGTGACGTATTATTCGGGAAGAGCTTTGTCACCTTGCGCATAAATGGGCCATTTCTTGCGGCCAATGCTGATTTCTTAAAACCAGTTTAAGGATGTTGTTATGTATAGTCTTCCTTTTCATCTAACTTTAAAATCTTTTACAGAAAAGCATGTCTTAAAATGACATTTTTTTGTGGAAAAGTCGGTCGAACGAACCCGTGTTTCGCCATTCCGGTCGGCGGCTTTCTCTGCCGGCGGTCACCAGCGTTAGTGTCAGCAGTACCACACCGTATCTCCCATTTAACCCTCTCTATCCCCACCTTTCAGCAGGAGAGCAGCCGCGTCTCTCGGATGAGTGACTCGGACGCTCTGACGGCTCCGTCCGAGGCAGATGAAGAGAGCATCGTAAACGGGGAGACCGCCAGCGCGGCACAGGCTGATGACAAGGTAAGGCGGATACTACTGGCACCAGTGGTAGATGAGGATGTTTGGTGTTGGTGGGGTTTGTATGTTGTGTTGAAGGTGTTTTGCGATAAGGGACCGATAATACTTCCCCCGCCAGTGCAGTGTCTGATGATTGAGCATGTTTTGTTTGATCCTCGCCGTTTCGAGTGTCTTGTTCCCAAAGTCTCCCAGTCGTCGACATAGTGAAGATTATCGCTCATCGTTTGTTTCTCCCTGTTTTCAGGCGGCCGGGAAATCTACACCTCCAGAAGATCGTCCCAAGTCAGAATCCACCCCTGTTCCCAACGGCGAGGCCGTGTCCCCGGTGAAAGAGCCATCTCCCCAGCCCACCTCCCCGTCAGTTACAACCACGCCCAGTAAACTAGCACCGGCGCCGCCTCCTCCGGCCACGCCCACCAAGGAGACCACGCCCCCTCAGACCTCCACACCAGCGGTCAAGCCGGCGTCACCAGCGGAGCCGGCGCCGTCACCAGCCGCTCCCTCACCAGTGGTTCCTGCACCAGTGGTTCCTGCACCAGCGGCGGAGTCTGTCTCGCCAGTGGCTCCATCACAACCATCCGAACCTGCCAAACCGACACCTGATGACCTACCACCCCCACCCCCACCACCTCTCTCTGATCCGGACGACGGACCTCCCTCGCTCCGGCACGCCGACCAGAGACCCCTGGTGGCCGCCGAGCCGGTGGTGGTACAGACTTTCGGCAGCGATGGTGGTGGAACGACCAGGGTTATTCTTGGCGGTGGAGGAGCGGACCCGCCCTCGGCCATGGGAGATGGGACTGCCAGAGTGCAGATTGTTACCACTGGAACAGGTGAGCTGGATGTCTGCTTACGCCGGGTCGTGTCCGTCTCGGGTGCTTGGGTAGTGTCGTGGTGGGACGCTGGTTGGTTGATGATGACTGGATGGTGGTTTTCACTTTTGGCTGTAACTGAGAGATGAAATTTCATCATGGTATGTTTGTCTTGTCTCGGTGAGGAAAATATTTTATACACATGCATTGGATGTCATGCTTCTATCTACGAGCTTCGGAGATTATGTACAGGTCTCGCGGGTTTTAGCGATAGGTTTTGCACCTAGAAAATTTAGTGTACTTCAGGGTATATCTTTGTCGTCTTAAGCTGTTAAGTGTTGAAGATGCGATCGACTTGTTGGTTCACAAGCCGGCCATGATCGTGTAAAGTGGCTTCATCGTAGATCGATTAGTTTCTGAGATATAATCGAAAATGTAAAAGTGCAAAACCTACCGCCTATTCTCGCGAGAGCCGTACCAATGTCATATTTGTTAGACAATTAATGTCATTGCTGGCCTCAGGGGCCAACAGTCTGGTATGATGTACTGCTTTGGTATATCGTCCTGTCCCGTGTACGTCTAGCTGCCCAGTCTCGGCCCGTTCGCTGAACCTCTCTCCCCGTCTGACGCGTGTTATTCCGTGGTCGGCCCGTCAGCAGCCTCGCCGGAGCGCCGCCCGGCACCGCGGCCGCCGTCCGTCCCGCCTGCCGCCGGGGCCGCCGCGCCGCCGCCGGTCCGGCCCGGCGTGCTGGTCCTCAGCACAGGACAGCCGTTCACGGGACCCACCACAGCGCGCGCCGCGGCGCCCGTGCCGCCGCCCAAACCATCTCCGTCGCGGTCACCCGCCTCGCCGCCTGCGCCGCCGCCGCCGCCGCCTCCAGCCGACACCTCCGAGCCCGCACTGCGTCTGGATGACAGTGAGGTGGTGATCGGTGGAGGAAGCATCGTCTCGGCGCCGCCGCCGGGGCCCGATCCCGGCTCGCGGTTCCAGCTGACCCTGGAGGAGCGGGCCGAGTCGCCGCCGCTGCCGCCGCCGCCGCCCACACCGCCGCGGGTGTCTGTTGGAGGAACGGCAGTGGAGGAGGGAGCCGCGCATGTGTCCGTCATCCAGGTAGAACCCGAGGAAGAGGAGGAGGATTCAGGTGAGGAAGACTCAAGGATCCCAAAGCTAAATATAACTGATCCTTCATTCCTCCCTGGGGTCGTGCTTTATGGTATATGCCTTTGTCATTTGTCTCGATTTGGGATAGTATCGTGGGTGGCCTTTTGTTTTGCTTGCTCAGTCCAGTTCTGTCCTGCTTATTTAATGATCGTTTCATTTCTTTACCTGTCAATGTTACGAATCGGATATATTTACAGGTTTTTTTCTCATTTTTATGCATCTATTGACAATGCAGAAGCTCTTGATTCTGTTTTCCGTCTTCCGTCCCCTAAACCATTCTTTCACATGTCATCTTACCTTTTCTCGTCACCTGACGTTCTCGAACGTACTCACGCCCGTCCCCACCTTCCGTCAGGCACGGCAAACTCCTTGTCCATCATGCTGGAGGGCACGACGGTGGGCAGCTCGGACGTCGATCAGATGGGAGAGGATGACGTCTTCACGCCCGGAAAGGGGGCTGCGCCAGTGCCGGTGAGTGTGTGTAGGGGGGAGGGGCTCTGGGGATGGGGTGAGGTGCTTGAGGGGTGGGGGGACGAGGGTGAAAATGCTATGCGTGCTAGTTCTGCGATGCTGATGGCTTGTGAGCTAGGATTTGGCATGGATGCGGAATCGCGCTTGCCCGATTGTTTTCTGCTCACTAGTAAGGATCAAGGATGCTTGATGGATCTGGCTTAGCATGGTTTAGATTTAAATTCAAGCTTTGCTGTGTTTCTTGATTCTTGCCGCGTAGCAACTGCGATGCAGGATTTAGATGTTCTATTGATTAGGCTTACTCTTATCACTATTCGGTTGAATGCATTTCAGGTTCACAAAAACAAAACTATCTGCTTAGTCGATCACTGCCTGTTGTGGCTCAGCCACCACCGCTTGCCACTTTTAGAGCCAGCCTGATGCTTTGCCGGCTATCCTGCCTGTTAACGCCACCCGCCTGCCCCGGCTGACGCGCCGCCTGTTCGCTCCCCGCCCCGCAGTCCAGCACCAGTACCCCGGCCAGTGCGCGCGGCACGGTCTCCCCGCTGGTCGGGAACGGTGGGCCAGCGCCGCCCCCGCCGCCACCGCCACCACCACCCCCGGCTCAGACGGCTCAGAAGGCTCAGACGCCAGAGAGGGCGGCTCAGACGCCGGACAAGGCGGGGACGCCAGAGGAGCAGGACGATGAGCCGGTGGTGTACAGGAAAAAGCGGCCGGCGCCGCCGCCATCACAGGTAGCACAGAGGTTCAATTGCTGTAGGCTGCAGTTCGTAGTTTGTGGGATATCTTTTTTCACTTTGGCCCCAATGGCCCATTTTCTCAGAATCGCATGTAGCTTGTCATTTCTTGCACGGCGTACTTGCTTTTTTGTTGGTTGATAAGTTCGTATGAGTTAAATTCATGTTATACATATGCTTATGAATTTTCGACATAAATGACATCGCCTCCAGAATTCACCTACCTTTGTCTTATAGCACCGGTGGAGTTGCCTCACACGTTACCCCCTAACGTCCCTTTCTCTCTTGCCTCCTTCGCTGTCTGCCAGGACTCTTCCAACTCATCGAGTGGCGGCAGTCAGTCGCGCTCGTCGACGCTCAGCCGCTCCAAGGAGGAGCTGGAGGCGTCACGGCTGCGCAAGAAGACACGCAACCGCACGCGGCGCTTCGAGATCGACGGCGTCGTCATGACGACCACGACCAAGAAAGTGTTCTATGGTGACGAACCGCTGATTGACGAGCACGCGCTGCGGAAGGCCGAGCTCAGGGAGCTGAAACTGCTGCAGAAACAGGAGCAGAAACAGATCAGGGAGATGCATGACAAGGTGAGATTGAGCTGATGGGGATGGAGGACGTGTACTGTGTATGAAAGTATGCGTGAACTCTGCGCAGCTTCGAACCCCAACCCTCCAAACTGGGGGTTTGGGGTTCGGAGGATAATTCTGGGGGCTCGGCGTGCTCAGCTATGCTGTCTTCAAAAAGGCATTTTATTTTCAAGGAAATCACCTGAGGAATCACCCCTCCCGTCTGTACCCCCGGGATTACTCCCCCCCCTTTCGTCCACAGTCTCAGCTGGCGCTGGACCAGCAGGCGCGCCGGTTCGAGCAGGAGCGACAGCAGCTGCTGCGCCAGCACGACGCCGAGCTGGAGGCGGCGCAGCGGCAGCATAAGGCTCAGCTGGAGCGCTGTGAGCAACAGCAGGAACAGGAGAAACGCAGCGTCAGCAAGAAACTGCGGGCCGAACAGGTAGGCGGGCGAGGGGCAGGCGACGGTGGGAATATGTAGTGGGTAGACAGACTGGCTGGCAGTTGAAAAGGAAAATGGGAAGCGGATTTAGTGCTTAAATGCGTGCTGATTGTAACTAGAGTGCTTAATGTGTTGATTTCTTGGGAGACGGGCTGAGCTAACTCCTATTTATTATCTGTGCTTGTTTGCGTAGGTAATTTGATGACGGCGTTCGAACTTATTCCAGCTGTTGCGCATATTCCAGCTGCGTGTGTATGTATCTTGTCGGGCGCTCACCGCCTGCTTTCCTTGTGACCTTTCATGTGACCGTTCGCAAAATACTACACTGACTGGCTCCCATAATACCATCAGACTACCCAGTAACATGTCTGATGACTCAATGAGTGATGGCCGTGTCTGTGACCGTGTTCCACAGGAGAAGGAGCTGAAACAGTTCCGCGAAGGCCTCCGTGCCGAGGCGCGTCTCCTCAAGCAGGACGTGGAGCGACTGCCGCGCGCGGAGAGGAAGGAGGCACTCAGAGCTGGCAAGGAGAGACTGGAGGCAGAACACCAGGTGAGGGCGGAGGAAGGGTAGAAGAAGGGAGAGATGGTAGACTAGGAAGTTGATGGTGATGACTGATGAGATGCTGTGGTGGGGTGCTGACTGCTGATTACATTGCCGCATTGAAACGGTACAGTTTATGCGTGTTTGTGAAGTGGACGTCGAACTGCAGTGTAAGGAATTGCACCTTTATCATTTACACTCCTAGAATGTATGCATATTTCGGCGCGCCCCTAACCCCCAACAAACAAACAATGTATGCATATTTTTCCGTAGTGCTGCTCAGTTTAGTGAATTTTCACACCTTTGCTGCTTGGAGTGGTTATTTCTACGCTGATATGAAACTGATTTGTATCTCTCGAAAAATGTTCTATCTTGCACTCAGTCCGCCCATCACTCCTAACTTAAGTCTAACGGTCTTTCTCCTCCCTTTCTTGTCTTCCTCAGGAGAAGGAGCGTCAGTTCATCGACCAGCTGAACGAGACTCACGAGGCGGCTCTGCAGCGGCTGGGGGAGCAGCACCGCGCCAGCACCGCGCAGCTTGAGAAACAGTGCCTCGAGGAGAAACAGAGGGTCAGTTGTCCAGAGAAACATTGTCTTTAGGATAAGCAGGGAGTCATTCGGTAGAGGAAACCGTTCCTCGAGGCAAAACAGTGGGTCAGTTGAATCATGGAGTAGCTGTTGAAGAATAAGAACGTTTTTGTGGATGACGGTTACTCTTATTCATTGCTCTTAAATCAAGCTCACCATTCTATCGAGCTGCGTTCTCTCCTGACCTTCTGACGGCTGCCCGGGGATCCCCCTGTCTGACGTCCCCTCCCCTCGGTTTCCCGCAGCTGCTGCGGGCGAGGGAGTCTGCCCTCTGGGAACTGGAGGAGCGTCACATCCAGGAGCGGTTCCAGCTCACCAAACAGCAGGTCAAGGAGGTGTTCTTCCTGCAGCGACACCAGGCAAGTACCGCCGCCACCGTGGGGGATCAGGGATGGTAGCCAGCAATAGACGCGCTTTGGTTTGTGTGACACAATGCCGGATAAAGGATGTGACACGGGACTTCGGAGTTTCTAGGAACTCACCGGATAGATTTCGGGGTACCTACGCTTAATTATCGTCATTATAATCGTCAATAAGTCATAATATTTGTTTTTGGTGTGCGCACAATGCTTTCTAACCGTCGTGCCCCTCTCCTCAGATACTGACCCGTCACAACAGAGAGATGGAGCTACAGCATATAACACTTAGTCTAACCATCTCCCCACTCCCCAGATGCTGGCGCGTCACAACAAAGAGATGGAGCACGTGCGGCGAATGGGCGACCGTCGGATGGACGAGCTGCGCCGACAACAGGCCGTCGAAAAGCGCGCCATGCCCAAACGCATCCGCGCCGAGCGAAAAACGCGCGAGCTGATGTTCCGCGAGAGTCTGCGCATTGGCGCGCCGCGCAGCAGCATCGCGGACGTGGAGACCAACGGCCGCGACCCGGTCAAGGCGTTCCAGGATCAGGAGGAGAAACGGTGAGTGGTTGGGTGTGGACAGTGGCAAGGAAATATGGGAGAAATGGAAGGTGCGTAGAATATGAGAGACGTCTGAATGTGCTTGTGTATGTAGATTGTAGGGAAGATAACACGGCATAGTGAAGGATATTAGAGCGACCAAGTCATGGGCTAGCAGGGGCGCCAGTTTGGTTTTGAGGTTTTGTCTAACGCACTCTGTTTTAGATTCAGTTTTATACACTGAGCGTCCGATGTCTTTGTTTCGGCCCAAAGCGATGCGATTTTCCCCACAATGGCCTATAATCCAACGAGTCGGCATCAACTCGATATACAAGCGGTACCCATCCAATGTTGTTTCAACCACGCATAGCCTAGAAACCACAGATAAGCCTCTTGCCCTGACTACCAGCCTGACAACCTAACTTCACCCACTCAGACGCGACCTGACGTCCTTGTCCACGTGACCCGCAGGTACAAAGCGGAGCATAAGCGGTTCGAGCTCAAACAGAAGAGGAAACAAGAAGAGCTGAAGGCCGTCAGCGAGGCAGCCATGAAGGAGCTGGAACAGGTTCACAACGAAAAACGTGAGTCAGTGGTGTTCAGTGCAGTCGGCGTTTGCTGCTGGGGCGGCCAGCGGCCCGGCACATGAGCCTGCCTGGTAGACGTTATGGTGTTGTTATCACAGTTTGTGTTGTCCAGTTGCTCATATTCTCGTATGCTCATATGTATCTTCTTGTTCTTGTTATCAGGACAAGTCGAGGCACGATGTCCTGTAGGGCCCGTTCTCGCCGAGTTCCTTAACTCCACTCTGTACTCAGTCTGTTACAGGAGAAGGCGCTAATGTCCTCTCGCTGTCCCTCTTTGTCGGTTCTTCAATGTTGTTGGAAGTGTGTGAGGTACCTGACTCCAACTTCGCCTCTCGCAATACACATCCCTAGCTGCATTTCTAGGGAAACGCTACTCCCTTTTGAATTACGGTGGATACGATAGATGTCTTCGCGCGCTCGCTGAATTGTAATGACTCTAACTTTGTCTCTCGACCAGGGCGCATGCTGATGGACCATGAGAACACGAAGTTGCGCTCTGCGGAGGAGGCTCACCAGGCAGAAATGAAGCAGTGGAGGCAGGAGCTCAAACCGCGCAAACAGGTGGGATTATCGAGGCCTGAAGTCAGTCCGGTGTCTTATATGGCATACAGACCATGGTTTGAAGTGTAAGGAGAACTACGTATAGGAGCTACAGGCCTCACGAAGAGGCCTGACTTCCTGAACATTTTAAAAGTCAAAGTCAAAGTTGGCTTTAGAATGGGAGCATGTTCCGTTGGCAGTATTGTTGCTTACAACTTGCTGCAGTGCTTACAGGCGTAAGATTTGTTGCTATCGGGCATGGTGAGTAAATGAGATATCTTTAGTGATGCATAGTCTGCGATAAGTGTTACTGTTTATTTACCTAAGTTGCTATCCATACCATTCCCGACTCCACATTTCCTCCTACACTTCCCAGCTAACCTCCCCTTCCCACCCCGTCAGAAACTGGAGGAGGGTTTCGCGGCCGAACTGGAGGAACGGGAACGCTTCTACGCTGACCCATCAGCCGGTGACAGGCTGACCTGCACACCGCTGGCCGACGGAACGGCCAGCGTGAGTCGAGCCAGCACGGGCAGCGCGGGCCGCAGCTCGGCGAGCGGGGGCAGCGTCGGCCGGGCCAGCGTCACCAGCGGGCGGTCGCACTGAGACTGAGCGTGGACAGGGGTAGGACGTGGGAGATAAACGGTGAAAGTGGGGATCGCAAGGACGTCGGAAGACGAAGATAGGTGTGTTAGAACACCAGTCTGGTGCTCAAGGAAGAAGATAGAGACGCTCTGGCGTCCGAAAGATATACTTAAGACATTCTGAAGGGTCTATGTGACATAAACGAAGCTTAAGGCGTCTGAAAGTGGCGTATTTTGAAGATGCTATCGTATATTCGATGTGCCATGAGCTGCAGGGGACACTAGAGCTGATATGGGGAGTAATTTGGGTGTGAATTTGTGCCAAGTTTGTCGATACCGGTGGTGGTGTGCGATATTGAGTGAGCGGTGGTGAGTTCAGTGAGAAGAGCTGGTCCAATTTCTGCAGGCAGTATCGACGGTGCGCAAGTATAAAAGGGAGAGAGATCGGCGTCGGATCGTCCAAGCCATGCGGTATGTGTACAAGACATCCGCGTATGCGGGATAATGGTCTCTGTCGCTGGATTGGAGACGCGCGAATCGAGTTCAAATAGTCACCATAGTGGTATCAATCCTGTGAGCGAGTGAGTAAGTCAAAGAGTGCGCGGCGGACTATGTCGCGGGAACTATTCGTGCTAAGTGAGCGAGTGATTGAGTGAGTGAGTGGGGAGTTCAGTCCCCAGCTGGTGCTTCGCTGTTCGCGCGGGACAGAGCTGGACTGCCGCTCGCGGGCGACTCCCCGGACCAGGAGGTCCTGCGGCGGTCTGCGTGCTGCGCCGCGCTGGGGTGATGGCTCTAGTCGAAGGCCGGCGGTGCGGGCAGACCCCGCCACTGGTGGCTCTAGTCGGGTACCTATTCCGGGCGGCCAGGAGGGCGCTCAAACGCCGCCCCCGCCCCCGCCACCGCCCCCGCCCGGCGCTCTGCCCTCGGCGGCGGCGGGGGCGGCTCCGTGCCATGGCTGAAGGCCGGCTGTGACCTGACCTTACGACGAAAGGCACGAGCTTCGCGCTGCCGCTGCGATAGTGGCGCCTCTACCGGCAGCGGCGCGCAACTGGCAATCAACCCATGAAGACTGTGCTTTTCCGGAATCGAGCCATATATCGCATATATCGCGCCTGCAATAGCAAGAGTGATTGTCTCAGTGATATCGGCGCGTATTTAGATAATTTTTAGTGCTTGTGATACGCTGTGTCATGAACGCATTTACATACACTTATTTCTAGGCGAATATGATAGCGGATCTGTATCCCAATGGGTGATTACCATAAACGAATGGACCCGTAGCTTTAGCTTTAGCTCGGCTTGCATCGATGCGTGGAGTACCTAAATGCCGTGCCCCGGGCATTCTGCATTTGCCATATGCGAGCACACCTACATGTGTGTATGTATGCATGTATATCTTGGCGATGGGGTCGCCTTATTGACACTTGTCAGCTCACTCCGGTGTCTTCCGGCCGGCCCGGCGGAGCCGCGCCGTCGACGACGCCGTTTCATAATAAAGACTGCTGGTCGCTCTGTGAGATGGTGCTGTTTGTGGTGAGCCTGCCCCGGAGGAACCGTACCCAGCGTATGTAACCGCTCCGTTCAGCTGACTAGTTCAGCCGGAGCTTGCTCAGCTACTGCCTCGAAATAGAGCCTTGGCCACGGTGACTATCCTTGGCCACGGCCCACGGGTAGGTATCAGGATTATCGACGATAGTCATCCAGCCTGGTCATCTTAAAATGTTTTTTTTTCTTCTTCTTTCTAGACTATGCTCTTTTTATACTGGAATTAAACATACGCCTGGTTCCTGCGTTCATCGCATCGGCAGCAAATATAGAATAAAAGCCTTCATCGAGGTTCATCGTTCATTACAATTTTATTCACAACATTGCTGGAAAACAGGGAACCAAGCATTAGGGCTCATAAACCATGCAAAGCACATGCAACACCGTGCCACAGCCTGCACATGTAACAACATAAATATACAACAATCTTTATCATTTAAATGTCTCGTATGAAATATGAAAAAATTGGTACTGTTTGCCAATGTATCATGTATGCCAGTCTATCTGGAAGTGCTTTGTTCACATCACATCAGACAAACTCACACATGAATACAACCTTTTAAATTAGTGACGGCGTTCGAAAGGCAAAGCATAGCAAATATGACGCAGCTGCGACATTCCAATTCCCACATTTTTTGGAAAGCTTAGATCATTTTTTGCGTAATTTTTGAATTATTTACGTAATTTAGCCTAGGTTTGCACAGTTGAAATTGTAAAAAATAAGTGTTTCTTCAGGCTTAGTATGAGTGCGTGCATGTAAATGGTTGTATTTTGCGTTTATAGAGGAATTTGTGAATGCGGTGAATCGTATTGATTCTGAGGCAATAGGTAATATCCAGAATTAAGATGCCATTTGTTGTTATTTCTGGTTTCCCTGCATCTGGAAAGACTACTAGAACGAAAGAGCTTCTTGAATTTATGAAAAAGGAATGGCCAAAAAATGTAGTGGTGATATCTGAGCATGACTTTGTGAAGGATCAAGACAAGGATTACACATATTCATGTGAGTAACATCAACATGCCTAGGGCTGTCAATTTTTGTCTTTTGTTTGCTATGTTGTCTACTTCTTGTAAACTTTTACCTCTTGACAATTTGACAAAACTGCTGACAAACAGGTGTCATCAAAAGAGAGGATCTGGATGAGAAAAGAACCATGATAAAAATCTTGCGATAGGGGCTGTTGTCTAGGGACCTTTTCATGTTGGCATTAGTGACAGCCCTTCCTTGTGAAATACCTGTGCCACTAATGTCAAGCTATCTTATTAACTTGCATTCTTGTTTTTAGCTTCTCAGGTTGAGAAAGATGTTCGTGGAGCCTTGAAAGGGGAGGTTATCAGGTGCGTGGTATCAAACTGTTCTTAACAGCTAGGTTCCCAATTGTTTTTTATTTCTTGAGTAGCAGTCAATTTTTATGATCATTTTTTATTATTTTCTTAATAATTCCACAAGCTGCATGCTTAAATCACTTATCTGTGATATATAATTTATTGTGAAGGCCATGTCCTGGAACATGCCCTGATTAAAGTTGGTAAATGTCAAGTTTACGTCCTAAGCACATTTCAATGATATTTCTTTCATATTCTTACATATTTTGACATGCTGAATCCAAAAATGATACTTACATGTCTCGCAAGAACAAAATCATCACCAATACACTAAGCAATTACACCTTCGGACACCGCACGATCAAAACACGTCAGGAGGAAATCGAAAGTATGCAGCGTTGCCATTGATGAAAAATATTTCCTGTCGAGAAATAAAAACAATCAATATATGATAAAAATAAAAAAGAAATATGAAAAAAATATTTATTTTAAAAAATATAGGAAATTAAATAGTAAAACAACAAGGGGGAAATGATGGAAACCGGGGTTATTGGGTGGGGAGGGTTAGAAAAACAGGGAAATGTTGGGAATCGGGGTTCATGGGTGGGGAAGAGAAAAAATGAAAATGACTGACCTGACCTGACCTGACCTGACCTGACCTAACCTAACCTAACCTAACCTAACCTAACCTAACCTAACCTAACCTAACCTAACCTAACCTAACCTAACCTAACCTAACCTAACCTTACCTACTGATTTTTGCCTACCGGGGATAAGGAAAAAGTTGCTTGCAGGAATAGATTGCAGGCAAGAGTAAATCAAATATTTTTAGGTTAAGTGGTCATGCATCAGGCTTCAGGCCTTCGGCCTGAAGCCAGATACATAGCCACTTAACCTAAAAATATTTGATTTACTCTTGCCTGTAATCTCTCCTAAGGCATTGCCTTCGGCACTGCGCTGCTTCGCCGCGAGAAATATTATGACGTCATTATTCACAGTTGAATAGCAACTGTTAGACTCTTGTCGCGCTGTCACATGTCCGTCACGTCCTGCCTGTCGGTGTCATCAAGACACTTGTAGCCGCCTTGGTTCTCTCGCAGGTCACATACTGCCTTTCCGTCTACGGCAACGGCACTAAGAAAAACATTGACAGAATTCAAAAGATACTGAACTTTGCTGCACGAGTCATTTTTGGTAAGAGAAAATTTGATCATGTTAGTGACCTGCGCGGGAAACTTGGCTGGCTGCCCGCTCAGCACATGGCCGACCACCGTACACTGTGTCTGGCGCACAAGGTGATTGCTGGTGGCGAGCCCGAGTCACTGGCGGCTGCATTCGTGTGCAACGGTGACCGGCGGTCCCGGCGCACGAGGCAGGACGGGCAGCTCTACGTGCCGAGGTCCAACACCGAGACCGGCAAGAGACGCTTTTGCTCGAGGGCACCTGCCCTCTACAACCGGCTGTCGAGTGACCTGACACCGCTTAGCCAGCAGCGTTTTTCACGTACCGTGAAGAGACGCCTGCTGGATCTCCACCGAACGTGACCGTTCCGACAGCCGTGGCCGCCACAGCACAGGGGTAGCCCTGTGTACCGTGTATGAGTGCGTGTGTGTGTGTGTGTGTGTGTGTGTGTTTTTTTTTTATCCATGACAGCGACCATGTTTGACTCGGAGCTTAATAGCCACACTTTGAGTGGACCGCTCTACGATGGCAAATACAAATACAAATTAGATGTCATTCATGATTTTGGCCAACTTTGCGCAAGTAATCGCCCCCCAGTTCTCAGGATTCTCCTTTCCTCCCCCCCCCCCCCCCACCCAATAACCCCGGTTCCCAACATTTCCCCTTTGTTGTTTTGCTATTCTATTTCTAATAATATTTCTTTTTAAATAAATATTTTTTACATATTTCCTATTTATTTTTATAATATATTGAATGTTTTTATTTCTGGACATTAAAAAAGACAAAATATTTTTCACAAATGGCAACGCTGGACACTTTCAATTTCCTCTCGATTTGTTTTGATCGTGTGTTGTCGGAAGGTGTAATTGCTTAGTGTATTGGTGATAATTTTGCTCTTGCGAGACATGTAAGTATGATTTTTGGATTCAGCACGTCAAAATACGTAGGAATGTGAAACAATTATCATTGATATGTGCTTAGGACGTAAACTTGACATATACCTTAAAGTTAAGTGTGATATTGAATTGCTTATTATTCTTTTGCAGGAAAATCTCCAAGGATGACATAGTGATTCTGGATGGTCTGAACTACATCAAGGGCTTCAGGTATGAGCTGTTTTGCATCAGCAAGAACTGCAGGACACCTCAAGTAACTGTTCACTGCATCATCAATCCTGAGCAAGCTTGGAAATGGAATGAATCAAGGCCTGAGAGTCAAAGGTAATTTTAATGAGATGGCTTATTATTTTTTTAGCTTTTGTAAGAAATGAGAGGTTTTTAAGTTTATGAAAAAGTAAGAACTACCGTTGTTTGGCCTAACTTTGCACCAGTTTTTGACTTTTCTTCGTATTACTTCCAAATTATTTTGTTAAATGTTCAGGAAATTGTGCAGTAAGGCAGTGACATCCCTGCTGGTCACCTATAGTCACTCTTAATTTTTTTGGATAATGACATATAATTTATTTTTTGAAATTAGAGTGGCACAATGTTACCCGCACAAAAATAATTTTGTACCATATGAATAAATGCATCAACAAAACAATGGAAAAGCCAAAAGTATCAATGTTAGCGGTCATTATGGATACATTGGTCCACTTAGGGGCTTTTAAAAAAGGAACAGCAAACTTGTACATTGTACAAACATAGTCACGGGATGATGCACACCATCATGACTGTAGGTCGCTTACGTATCCCACTGGGACATTTACGCGCATAGGCATTAAGCTGATTAAAATTTAGCCATTTTTTTCCTCGTGGAACAAAGTTACCCACACGGCCCAAAGTTAGACCAAACAACGGTATAGAAATAAGAATATATTTTGGGTGATAGTGTCACCATGACAGTTTTGCTGCTGTTCTTACATTTTGTGATGCTTGAACACCTGTTAGTGTTCATCCATCCTTTTTTATTGGCATTCTCTCAGCACAGCTGCAAAATAATAATACTGTACCCACATAAGCTTTTAACATGTAATGTCATATCCTCACCAGTTCTGGCAACAAGCTCCACTTCTCAGTGACCCATCCCACAACACTTAAGGGACACATCAATGACGAGGTCATCACGTGACCCCCTGGCTCCCCCTCCGTACCCCAGTTACAGCCGAGCGGTGTTTGACGGCCTGGTGATGCGTTATGAGGAGCCCGACAGCCGGAACCGCTGGGACAGTCCTCTGGTCACCGTTCAGGCCGACGACCCCACGCCGGCTGAGGCTGTGCTGCAGGCGCTCCGGGCGGCGCCCGCGCCCAAACCCAACATGTCCACACAGAATGTGAGCGGCGGGAACGGTGGGATCATATCGTCGAAGTGTCATGGTGATAAGTTTGAATTGGTGTTCACCGATTCAAAGATATTTTCGTTTTACAACTTTGTCAAATGACGCAAGATTGATGCAAGGGTTTCAGTTGAGGTGGTATCTGACGATCTCCAACCTGTTTCAGCCCATGCTGGCACCCACCGACTTTCTGTTTGAGCTGGACCGGCGGACACAGGACGTTGTCAAGGTAGGTAACCGGGGCAGAATGGTGTTCAATGACGGATTATGCATAGTTCACCGGCCTGTATAGGACCTTGGTTCACCGGTGGTAGTGTTTCTCGGTGATTGGGCCGCGCTACCATTCTGGATTAACCATATACCCTCCGCTATTTTTTTCGGGTAATAATTTAATTATGTTCCTACATAATTAATATATGTTGTTTACCGATGACTGTTTTTGAAGAAGTTAGTTAAGTGCTACCGGCTGATCCCAGCTAGAATCGTTGATACATCATTTGCATGAATTTAAGTCATCTCGTGTCACCAATTATATGGCCTGCCCTCTGATCCCGCCCTCCCCCACAGGCCATAGTGTCGGCGCAGGAGTCGGCCATGGAGGGCGACCAGCTACCTGTGACGGGTACCTCCGAGCGGTACACGGTCCCCTCTACGGGCCGGCTCACCCTGGCCCAGCTGTCCCGCGCCCGCCGACAGTTCGTCTCCTACCTGAAAACACACCCGGCCGACCCGGCCAGTATACCTACGCTGTTCGTACAGTACCTGAATAATACGGATCGGTGACCGGAAGGGGTGGGAGGTCATCGCCTATGTCAGGGGCGAGGGGTGGGGATGACGTGGGCCGGAAGGGGCCGGTTTGGATATTTTGGAATGTACTTGAGGCGTTGCGGTCTTGTCAGCTCGCGTATGGTGTGAATCATTATAAGAATGCGGCATCTCCGATTCCATCTACTTTTTGCCGTCTTAGCCACCGGCAATGACTGATCATCTCTCGTACATTTATACGGGCGATACCACGTTATACGGCCCTAATCTGATGATGTGATGACAGATCGTGGTGGGTATTGATGCCGTTTATTAGCTAAAATACTATGCGCTCATTGCAATACAGCATGCAACTGTGCAACGACCACTCTGAAATAATCTCAAAATACGCCGTAGCTGTAATTCATTATAGGGATTTCACACGGTCGATGCGTAAAACAATGTTTCTAAACCACGTCACGCGAAGAACAGACATCCCACGGCAGCAAGTGACCCGATTTGTGGCCCAGTCAGACAGCACGCGAGGAAACATGCGCTTGTACCTCGTGCATGGCAGCGAAACAGTTCACAACAACGCGGTTCTGGAGCCTGAAGTATGCACATATGAATGCCTGAACGCCAGACGGTGAAATTGCGTCCGTATAGGACAGGATAGTAAGCCGCTTACCGGTAGCAAGAAGAAGCTATGTGATTATATCTGCAGGCCAAATTCTCGATTATCCTCACGGTGCATATGTAAATTGACGTCGAACACAGTCTCAAACCAAAAGCCGTCCCGCCCACCACCTCTCCCGATGGGTTGCGACTTGCGACTCTCATCACGCAGAATTGCGAACAATGACGATGCATGCCTTCTTCCACGAAACACCAAAAAGCGACGACACCAACCGCGCTGTCTCCTGAGATGTCGAGGCACCACTCGCAAAAGCCTAATTGGTGTTCGCATTATGGTCTCAGAAAATGGCACAACAGAACTGGTTCAGCAAAGTTCAGCAGTAGCACCGTCGTAGCTGGGCCTCGCGCGTCGTCCATCACTCGTCACTATCGATGCGGGCACCACCTAGAGACGCGCCGTGAAGATCACTCGCGGCGCAGTAGCGGCCACTATAAGTAGACCGGGCGAGCTCACGATCCCACAGCGACTCCGGAGTCCGGGACTCCGGGATCGGTCCGGGTGACTCCGGGATCAACCCTGGGCGGCTCCAAGGTGTTAGTCGGGCGGCATGTATGTGTGCGGCTGGAACTTCTCGCGGATGTGAGGTCGCACGTCCTCGTTCTGAAACCGCCCAGAGACAACAGTGAGTCACGGCAGCATGTATGGGTCGATTGCATGATAAAACAAAGGAAACTGAAAGCAGCAAATGCAAAACGAAACAAATCAACATTCAGGGCCCTCCAGAGAGTTAGGTGAGGCCGCGGGACCCCCTGCGGCCGAAGGAACTGACAGTAACAACACAAATCGACAGTGCATCATCTGCGGTATTTCCCTTCCCCATTTGTCTTTGTATGCTTACCAAGGTGTGCAGGTTTTCTAGGAACGGTATCAGTTTCAGCAGCTCAGAGTCCTCCTTGTCGGTGTACCAGCTCTCAATGGGGATGCCGTTCTCATACTGGAAACAAAACAACGTGGTCAGCATAATTGCGAACTCGAAGGAAAGCTGAAAAACAGCTGACGAATCGATTCATTTCAAACTCGTTTTTATTTTGACTTGTGTGTGCATGCGAGCGTATAGACTGCTCACTGCTAAAAGTTCTTCGTCTCGTCTCGTTTCGAACTCCTTTTTGTTCAAGAACTGGGAAATTGCATTTAATATTTTCGATATTGGCACACCAAAACAGACTTAAATCGCATGCAAAACTGCAGTTTGTGGTTAGGTTACCCATCCAAATTTTTGCTGGGAGCCCATACGGCATCAATCGAAGACAATCGAAGATGGCTCGATAGTCAACCTTAGCTTGAGTCCGATCTTAAGGCCCTTTCAGCTTTTCTTATCCGACGCAGCTTTGGCTTAATACCGGCCGGTCTTCTAGCCCATCACCCACATATCAGACACTATTTACTCACTGATAGCTCCCTACTACAGCCCTCCCTCCCCAGTCCCCACCAGAACTCCACCCCAACAAGCACGTGGCAGTGCTGGCAGATACGGCAGCTGTAACAGCTGGACATGATTTGACCGGCGATTACACGCTTCCACGTGTTCACGTTTAATCACCCCTCCCCCTATCTTCAGCGATACAGACGCAGGGCAGCGAGTACATACCTGATAGCCGAAGGCCTCTGGCGAGTTGTCGATGATGATGGTGCGGGAGAGGTCGCGACCCAGGATGTTGAGGTCCTTGACGTAGGTGCCGTTCACGCAGACGCAGTGGTCGCGGAACAGACGGTACCTGACGACGGACAAAGGTAGTGTCAACTCCATGAGATGGGGTGCGAAAAGTAGTTCAATCGCACACATCAATATCCTCCATCGGGAACTGTAATTGATGAACTTGAATTTAGTCCAAGAACTATCATTTATTGCTTGTAAAATGTGTATAATCATATAATGATATAAGCAAAAAAGAGCCATAAGGTAGCGACGAGCAGCGCTGGTAATTCAGGTGTCACGTACTTTATTTATTAGCAGGGATGCGGAGCCGGAGCCGGAGCCGGAGCCGGAGCCGCCGGAGCCGGCATATTTTGCCCGGAGCCGGAGCCGGAGCCGGAGCCGTGAAACAATGTAGCCCGGAGCCGGAGCCGGAGCCGGAGCCGTCAAAAAAGGGGGCGACTCCGGCTCCTTTTCTTTAGAGGAAACAATTATTTACCTAGTTCGGTTTGACAGTAGGGACCGTCGAGGTCCTGGTCAGTGTTCTCTACCTTCAGTGTTCGCATACACGGTTACACCTCGCCTCGCATTCAAAGCAATGCTGCCACCACCTTCAAGGCGTAAAACAATGTGGTATTCAAAATGTGGTATTCCACCCGTATTTAATTGATCGCATAGGGGATGTAGGGTAGGGTGAGGTAATTTGAACATGTGGGGCAATTTGAACATAGTGTGAATAACACAAAATTACGGAAAATCCATAAGTGGCATGACAATAAGACCAATGAGAGAAATTATCGTAACTAAAAGGGCCATCATATGAACGGGGTTTAAAGTTTCAGGGAATGAAGATGTTGACGCACAGTGTAAAAAATAATTTCGCAAGGATAAACGCCTAACAACACGTCATTGCAACTTCATTGTAGCGCAAAATCTTGCATTGCTAGTGCCTAATACGTAACAGCTTTTGTTGTACAATGACCTAATCAGTGTCTTCAATCCAAGAAATTTGCTTTTGAACCCTGTTTTTGAAAATGGCAAAATAACTTTTTGTGTGGGGTAATTTGAACATAGTGTGAGAATTTCAATGAAAACAGGGATAGCTCCGAAAAAACAGCTCTCCCAGTTTTTTTTTTTGCCAATATTTTCGACCCAAAGCAGTAGCAGATAAGTGATGCCAGTTTTCGAAAATTTACGTCTAATTTCCGTCTAATGCCCGGCATTTTCGTTGATTTTCCGTCCAAAAATGTTAAAGTCAACTATTTGTCCAAATATGTCCGAAAATTATGCAGCTATCAACACTCAAAACCGTCATTTATATTGCTTATCACGTAATTTTACCAGCCGAAAAGTGTTCATTACATTGAGAGCTTAACAAGCTTTCCATTCGCCAAGCAATGCTACGCACGATTACTTGATAAAAATGCTCAAGTGTGGCAGGCCATCGTCCAATGTTGTCCAGACTACTATACCTACCTTTGTGCAATCAATTCCGAATTGGACATAATAAAGAATCGGAACTCCGAATGTCCAGGTTCCGATTGGCACCACTATAACAGATGAAGTAAGGTTTGGTAGAGTTTTTATCGAACGGAGATGATAGACGTCCTGTTAATTGAAGAGAGGCGAATTCTTTCAACTGACCTGTGTGCAGCGTGCAGATATCGATACTCTGCAACTGTTATTTTTGTTGCTGTGTTGATTTTCAAATGAAGGTATGTTTAGAATTGCTCTACCTATTCGTTTATGGGTCAAACAATGCATCGGTGCTGGCGAGACTATCGTTTTTATGGCAGGTAAAGGCAGTATGTTCAAATTACCCCACGGTGGGGCAATTTGAACACACCGTGACTTGGTGGAGAAGTGATGCTATGCTATTCAAGGTATGCTCGGCTCGTCCAAAAATGAGGCTTGCATGGTAAAAGCAAGTGACACATGCGCTACTGAAACAGTTTTTCTTCATCCAGGGTTGAGCTGGAAGTTGGTACAAGGGAGAAGACGTAAAAATATGCTCAAATTACCCCACACTACCCTACTTGGTAGAAGCCGGAGCCGGAGCCGCCGGAGCCGGAGCCGCCGGAGCCGGATCATTTTACTCGGAGCCGGAGCCGGAGCCGGAGCCGCCATGACATTTCACCCGGAGCCGGAGCCGGAGCCGGAGCCGATTTTTTTCTCCGGAGCCGGAGCCGGAGTCGGAGCCGTCTGAAATTTCCACGGCTCCGCATCCCTGTTTATTAGGATAATTGGCATTACGCAAGACGGAAATCGGACCGTATGGCCCAGCTAAATAAACTAAGAGATCCAAACCAGCAATGGGAGTGATGAAATCGAAGAAACGCTACTGTGAGCACCCACGCCCCACGATCCGTATTTACGTACTTAATGAGCTTCCTCTCGGGGTCCAGCAGGTTGACCAGTTTGTCGGCGTACACCTTCTTGGAGGCGGTGAACAGGATGACTTCGAACAGGTCCGAGACCCGGTCTAGGAACTCGTGTATGAAGGGCCGCGTGCGCACAAACACCTCGTAGGAGACGCCTTGGAAGAGTACCGGGAACGTGAACGAGGCGTCGGCCATCCTCTGCAGACTGCAGTGGACCAGCGTCTCGTCCTGCCGCCGAGAGGAAACAACGAAAAGATTGTCAGGGGAAGGTCGAAAAGGGTAGCATGATAAGCGGGAAAGTGATAGTCATTAACATGCGCAAGTAGCGACCACCCACCATGACCATCCCCATTCCCCCGTAAACACAGCACAGCCTGCCACTTGATTAAAAAAAAAAAAATTGGCAGCATAAGATGTTGGCAGACACACACACAATTGACAATGACGACGCAAACGAGCAGTCTGCGTAAAAAGCGCCTAAGTCACAAATAATCGGTGACTCATGAAAATTAAGAAAATAAAACGAAAATTCAATTAATGAATAGACTTGAAAATTCCAGTAGCACTGCAACAAGAGTAAAATACATGAAAGGAAATAACAAATTTCAATTGAAACGCGCAAAGCATGCAGACGTAAAATCGCGGTGACCTCGTACAGTTCGTTCAACTGGGTTGTCATTGAAATTCACTAGACTTCAATGTTGATGAAACTGTGAATTCCCTCTCCTACGTTCTCCGCAGTGTGACGTCAGCCATATCTCCCCAATCTGCCCTTGGCAGAGCCCCTGGTACTATATCTGTCCCTGACATTCAGCAATGCCACAGAGGTTAAACCAGTGGCCTACCAGGCCTCCAGTTGCATTTTGATGCTTCGCAGATATATGCTAAGAAGGTCAAATGAATATTTGTTCCCGTCGTAGCATATATCACGTAGGGAGCGAAAGAGGCGCCTTGACTTTGATATATTCGGAAATATATATTGCTGTTGACTTCTTTAGAGGGAATCAAAGCTCTGTCCTAGGGGAGTCCCAGTATTGCTCGGAAGCGATGAATGAATGCAAAGAAACCATGCAGAGCGAAATGATTTGCATACCAGTTACGCAAAACATATAGACCAGATAGGTACTGGAAAACATGAATTCCAGTGTTCCTAAAAACAATCAAATGACGACTCGACAAAACCTTCATACTCAAATAAAAATAATAAGGGCTCCATTCCCTCACCATACCGACCGAACAGACTCTTCTACAGGTCACAGAGGCGCACAAACCGACCAGCAGCGCCATCATGACTCACCAGGTCCAGGACCAGTGTGAAGTGTGGACTGCTGCGCGTCTTCAGCGGCAGCGCCGGGTGGCGGGCCCGCATCTCGGGCGTCAGCGGCGGCAGGTGTTTGATGAAGTAGTAGGCCTCGAACATGCTGTCGGTATAGTAGTCCGTCTCCTCCTCTCCATCATCTTCCTCTTCCTCCTCCTCTTCATCCTCTTCTTCATCTTCCTCTGCTTCGTCCTCTTCAGGTTCACGGGAGCGGTACTCGGTGGGAGCCGACACACAGCCTGTGGCACAGCGATAGAAGAGCGTCAGAAATCAGAGCGTCAGAAGAGCGTCAGAGCAACGGGGATCGGTAGGGTTCGCGGCGGAAACTGCTATTAGGTTTGTAGTTACAACCCCGAGCGATTAATATCCCGCAAATATTGTAAGGATACCGCATTGATGCGTGAGATGCAGGGAGGGTGTGACCCCGACGGAACTTCTTACATAGTCTATGGCGCTCGCCGACGTCTTCCGGAACGGAATACAAGTTCCATTCAACGACGCAGTAACATACTCATCACAGCTTACAGATTAATTAGAAAGATGCGCAATTTTAGGCCACATTCAGACTTAACTCGTAATTACATACTAGCGGCGCAATACTTCCTAGCAAATCAATCCCACATGGTTCATTGGGACTTTACTGCAATAGTGGCGAAGGAAAATGTTGTTGCATTTTTATACGGAAAACAGGAACCAGTACAACCTTGCTTCGATGAGTAAACACCTCTTTTACGAACATGTTAATCGGAAAACTGGAACCATGATGCAGAGCGTAAATAAGTACAGCCCGAATACTTAAATCGGTGGTTTGTGCTTTGATAATTTGTGATTTAGGGGAGCCCGGGCTTCCGAGGTCATCGGCGTTCATGGCCTATGCTTTGAGTAGGCAGGAAAATAGAAGCAAATTGAACGGCCGAGAGACGGCCCGAAGACCAGAGCGGACTCCCAGAACGCCGCTATACCGTCGACCAACAGTTGTTAAACAGTTTTTACGACTTAATTCATGAACCTTTAGCAACAGCGGGACCACACCCCCTTCCACCAGCCCTTGCTCACCGACGTCACCGGCGGCTGAGGTGACCTGCGGCTGCGCCGGCGGCGGGGCTCGGCTGTTGTGCTGGTCAGGAGCCACCTGCTGCAGAGGCTGGCGCCGTGGAGCGGCCGAGCAGATCAGCCGGCTATCAGCCGCCCCCGCCTCCGCCGGGGGCTGCTTCAGCGCCGTGTAGTCGCTGGTCGATGACGGGTCCTCGTTCTCCTGTGGGTGACAGGGTGGGGTGGGTGTGAGCGGTCTGGTATGGCATCTGTCAGTTGACTGGATGTTTTACAGAGCAGACGTGAGTGGGGTGTACCATGTCCTGGGCAGTGTGTGAAACGTAGCTTTTTGTCCGATTATAATGTCAGTGTAGCTTATTCGCCCCGAATGTTTTTGTCAATTTCCCTCTAAATGTAATGAGGACTATATCGGCGAGCTGGTGTGAAGTGCGAACAACACTTGACGCGACGAACACCGAAAAGATGAATCACAGAATGAATCACTTCACGGGATAAACCCGTACTTGTCACTTCGTCAATAGACAAACACAGCTCAACACAGTACCTCAACACAGCTTGCAACCGTCGAAAACTACGCCAAAATACGGCTAGTGTTGATGATTCAACGTCTGTCGTGCTCTATGACTCCTCCATTATCAAGGTATGGGGTATATACGGGCAACCATAAAACCGACTCAGCTTCAGATGTTGTGAACCAGTCCTAAAATATATCGCCCTAGTGCACTGCAAAGACAACATAGCGCGACTTTGGGCACCAGCATTGTGCATGACTCAAGACTGATCCTCTCACTGATCTTATTCTCTTCCCTCCCCACTCGTAACTCACCCCACCCTTTCCTCTCCTCTTCTAACTCACCGCACTCCCCCTCCTCTCTCCCAACTCACATTACAGGTGCGCAGCAGCGGCCGGCGGCTGTGGCGGCTCGAGCTCGCAGGTGGCAGCGGCGAGCGACTAGCGCGGGGTCGGGATGGCACCCAGGCTGCCGAGCGGCGCGCCCGGCCCCGCCAGCGAGCAGCCACTGCCACTGACGGCGAGCTGCGTGACTTGCTCGCCCGTGGCCGGTTACTCTGCCGGGTCCTCATCGTGCCGACATCTGCCGGGCAGGGAGGGTGGAGGTCAGGTCAGAGGTCACAGGGAGAGTTGAGGGTCACGGTCATGCGATCGGTTCCATACGATCTCTGACAGGTCCTCGTTGATCGAACAATTCGAACATCTGCCCAAGCAAATAAAGCGGAAAACAGCTTTGGAATGTCTCACCGATACAATGGCCAGCCACTGAAACCGCACTGCAGTCCACAGGCATTTCGCATGTCCCAAGCTGGCCAGCCTTTCTGCAGAGTGGCATTCCCTCACGCGATTCTCCAATACACTGCACTGTGCACCCACACTCGAAAAGGTTACGACAAGGAAAGGCTAACCATTAACTGGGGAGCCACAAATTTTGGATAAGTTAGGATGCGGATCCACTCAGCAGACAGTAGACGAACGGCAAGTTGGGTAGCGACTGCGAGTATAACCCTGGCAAGTTATGAATCACGGAAAATTGGGGGGAGCCGAAACAAAATCCGGTCGGCTCATGATCCATCGAGCCGACCGGACGGCCGGGGATATTGCGCCGGATGGTCTGGTCACTTCGTAGTTCGTGGGGGGGGGGGGGGGTGTTTTGCCCGCTCACCGCAGTCAACAGCTCGGTTGGGGTTGTGACTCGTGAGTCACATGGTGATTCGATAGCAGCTCAGGCGGGCCCGCCAGAGGCCCGGAACCAAGGGGAAGGCCTGGTCTGACCGGCCTACGAAGTACCGGAACGAACGGAATATGGGGCTTTTGGAGGTTCGCCAGCGAAGGGGAGTCCAGCATATCACGTAAGAGGAACCTCACTCCCTGGTAGGTGTGGCAGTGTGGTGATGAGAACTCAACACATAGGTACGTTAAATAATGTATCTATTCTTGACGATCGTCAGTTGGTCTTACAGTATGATAGCTCATAGCTGTCACTCAAGAATCGCCGTGAATATATGTTGATCAAATGCAATGCACGGATGGAATGTGCTGTGCACACTGCACGGTGCCTACGCCGTTGTACTGCCTGACTCATCCCTTTAGACCGGTTTTCTTCCCTCCATAGTGGCCTCTGCCGTCCAAACATAAGGTGAATGAACAATGGCGTGGCAGTGACTGCCTTGGCATTGATATAAGCTGAGATGACACATGCTCCCATCTGGAAACGGCCAAATAGATGGCTTCAAACTGAGGGTTAAAGTCACCCAAATGAGGCATATACTGTAAAAAAATTACTGGATATGGGTGGAAAAGGTTATTGAGCCGATAAGCTGCTACGCAATACCTACAACCCGGGAATAGGGGTAGTAATGACCGACAGAGACAAACAACATGCGTGGTGTTTCTGTTTGTTTACAACAGACACAGAACCGGATGCGGGAGGCGTCAATGCTTTCCAAAATGGGTTAGTTTTCAAACACATTTAGTGAGTGCATGAAATATGAATAGTAGCCGCACATGCACCGTCCACCACCCCGCTCTCCTGCCATTTCGCTGACCGCGTACAACACCGACCATTCAGTCAATCGACCCACCATGCATGACGTCATACCACACATATGACGTCACATAGAGCGCGTGCCGAGACTCGGCACTCTGCGCAGGTCGGGCGGGGTCGGACGGATTTGGCAAAGACAGCACGGGATGTAAACAGATGGGGAAAGAAAGCGACCGTTCAGAGACGCGCGATACGAGAGCGATATACAGAGCACGGCTCGAAGGACGAGAGTGAGAGAGAGAGAGAGAGAGAGAGAGAGGGGGGGGAGGGAGAGAGAGGGGGGACGAGAGCAAGAATCGACTACAGCGAGATCGCACCATGGTTTTGCGAAATTGTGATGTCCATGAAGCGTGAGCTGTGTAAGAAAAATAAAATCAATATGGTTGTCTTTCTAAAGATAGTTAAATAGCTGTCTGCAGCGCGGAGGAGCTATTCCAGTCGTGCGTGCATCTCGTACGCCGACTATTGCGAGCAGCTGTATCAAGTTGCACGCTAAATTGGTTCGCGTCGTCTGATGCCTTCCCATACAGTTTCCTTTTTATCACATCCTTCCTTCTTAGTTGCAGATGCAGTAAGAACTAGACTAAGGAAAGCTGGCCCAAGGTCACGGACCACAAAAAGCCCGACCATCTCCGGCGGCCGCCGAGACAGGGTTGGCAAGGGGTGGCAAAAACTGGTTTTTGCCGGTGGTTTTAACCGGTTTAAACCGGCTGGCAGAAACCCTGGTGGCAAAAACTGGCAAAAACTGGCAAAAACTCAGGTAGTCAAGACTTGCAACTTTTCTGGTTAGCAATTGATTTGAAATGTAGGTACAAATGCATTTCTGGATGTTTTAGAGACTCGCTAAACATTCTGAAGTTTGCCCCATTAGCTACCCGGGCTGCAATGTCTATGCATGTCGGTAGACATCCGTCAGACAATGCATTTCTGAAGAATATTGGCATTTCCATGCATCACGGTTAGGGTGCTACCTACTGCAGGTGCACACGTGCAGGGGTCGCTTTCGACCAGATCTCGAGAATGGCTCTGCCGATTGCGCTCAAATTTGGAACACCGTTACAGACAGATTAGATTAGCATGGGTGTCGCAGATAAGTCAGTCGGGGGCAACTTTCTACGAGCGCACGTGTGGGACGACACTTCCAGTTCTCGAGAACGGCTGCGTCGATTGAGCTCAAATTTGGTACTAATACCGTTAGGAACCAGTGAGTATGGGGGCCGTGACACATCAGTGGCAGGCACCCCTTCGCACTTCTGCATGTGCAGGAATCACTCTTGCACTGGCTCATTTGTCGCCCCAAAAAGACGTACTGGTTACTAATGGAAAGCGGGAAGCCCATGAAAATGTTTTTATTGTATGAAACACTGGTCGAATGGTCAAGATGTCGCTTCTTTTTGAAAGCATATAACTTTCACTGAATCCCCCATAGAATGTTTCCAAATCAAATGCATGTCTAGGCAAAGCATTGTAATGGTTTTGAGTTTTTGCCAGTTTTTGCCACTTTTTGCCGGTTAAAACCGGTTTAAACCGGCAAATGGCATAAACTAGTTTTTGCCGGCAAAAATGCCAACCCTGCGCCGAGAATGGCCCAGTATTGATCCAGCCCCGTACCCGCCCCAGCCCGACCGCGTACTCCAGAAAGGTCGCCATGACCCCGGGCACACGAACGGTTGACTATTCCACGGAATAGTCAAATGACGGCATTGTTTGACCGAGTGGCGTCATTGTCGGCGAATGACTGGCCCGTCATAAAAACAAGTTGGGTGTGTGATAAAATCGACTGCCACAAAAACATGACTGAATCATACAAATGAATGTGCAAGTCATCGTGGAACTCACACCCAATGAGCAAACCTCAATATAAGGTTTCAATATCAGACAAATTTGCAGCCTCATGCTACTCCCGGGAAGGGAAGGCATAGCGGAAAACGTAGACCAAAAGCGACAAGCCCATCCGCAGAGCTGTCACAGTAGTCGGTTAACAAAAAAACAGGAGCACCTGTTTGCGGGGGCGGCGGCCCAGATATGCGGGCAGGGTCGCGGAGGGTCGGACGGACCAATCGATGGTGTGTGACCCGAGCCGTCCGTCGGCCGCCGATACCGGCGGGAACGATCGACCCGTCGGCGGCGGCTATATGCCAGTCGGGACACGCCGTCCCGCACCGTGGGGTGGTAGGTCAGGTCAGCTAGTCGGTCGGCCGGGCGGCCAGGAGGGCACAGGAGGGCGACGGGAGGGTGGGGGCTTATCAAAAAGAGACTCGTGGGACTATCGATGGAGAAGCTAATAGTTCCCTTGATAGTGAAGTACCTAAATCTGTAAACAGCTAGGTAGGCGGCAAACGTCGCACGCTTAGAGCTTATCTGCACTGTTGCACAGATTGCATGGTGAACAATGTTTGTGACAGATCATGCAAACTTAGGACCGTTTAGGCGCTTAGGTTGTTGTTGACGGTTCATGCGAGGCATTATAACTTGAAAATCGCACCATAGAGGGAGACAACTAAATCCACACCCAGCTGATGAACACTCTAGAACCCTGGATTAATAATATTCATCTCGTTCAGTTGGAGACAAGCCGTATCAGGATTAAATCAAGAGGTGACCCGCCTCGTCCTTCCCAGTCACCTTCCTCGATTGGTGTCCGGTTAGATAAAAGGGGCGATAATAGGAACAGATAGGTGTCCCTCACGCGGCGAGACAAAGGACAGCCGATTGGAAACCTTCGAATTTCTAATAGTCATGCCGATAACTGGACCGGGTTTTCACATTACATCAGCCGACAGAATGCGCACAAGGGCAGTCTAAAAGAGGCATATTTTTCAAAACTAAGATACAAAGGTAACCGGTGTGGGCAATTGTAAGCACAAGATGTGACCTTTATCCCACAAAACTCTTAAATCTCAGTCTCACGAAAGGTACCTACATAAGACACGATCCAGATCGCATGTTTATTGCTTGTTGCATCAGACGAGTCGGCAAGGATTATGAGCGTACTCCGTGACCTTCCTGTGTGGAACGTTAATAAAATAAACACTCTTGGATGTATTTATGTCTGCAGACAGACACGAATAAATATGCGATCCCGTATGACACCGTGCACTTTGCCGGAATGCCAAAACGGATTGCGACCAAAACAATGTAGGTGGGTTGATGTGCAAAATTATGAGTGGCTTCCATTGACAGTGAACGAGACGAATTAAATATAATGTCGTCCTTTGACCCAGTCCATCATATAGGGTCGTGCCCTAGTCAATAAAAGAGGAATGTGCCCCACTTTCGAGTACTTTTTGGCCTAGTTTATACCCATACTTGCGGTACCTAGCGAGGGTTCGTTTCAGCCTACGCCAATAACCCCACACCTTTTCTCACGAACATCCGAATTTCCGACCTTTTCAAGGCTGCGGTTTCAAAGCTCCCGATTCTCACCGACCGGTGGGAGATTTGAATCTCACTCCCTTCAACCCCTCATTGGTCCAGGGCCACCAGGCCGGGCCGGGCCGAAAAACGCCGACCGCCCCAGGTAATCAGCTGGCCGAAAAACCGGCAGCTGGCGTCCGCCGGGCCCCCACCGAGCACGAGGCGTCTGAAGGAGGCTTCTCAGGGCGTATGGCTGTAATTGAGCTCTAGGGAATGAAGAAGTGTCATGAAATGTCAGATTTGCAATGGGGTAGATAGATACCATACCAACGTCGCTATGGTCACTAGAGGCTGCAATCACAACGCTGAGAATATCAGGAACTCGCTGTCTCCAGGACGCTAAAGCATTGTAAAGAGAATAGCGGGTGTGTCCCAAGTCTCAAAACACCACTTCCAAGCATAATATGATGTCGGTTAAGCCCTAAAACACGGACCCGTTCGAAGCTAGTCGGCCGCAAGATGAGAAGCTTCTGGAAAGCAAAACAGGCCGGCCGCCAGCGCGGGGAGGGGGCGGGGCGGGGAGCCGTCTGCCGACGTACCGCGCAGTTGGCCCACCCGGCCGACGGCACCTGGGAAAAAACCGACCCAGAGCTGCAACGATACCTTCAACTGTGAAGTTAAAAGAAAAGCCCTGTGATAGAGAATTTACCATCATTCCATGGATTTGCTTAGCTTCCGGTGCATCTGTCACGCAAGGCGCTGCTACGCCATTCCCGCCACATTCCACATGCCCCGCTTTCGCGCGCAAACCCGGCCCGACACCCACGTGACTCCCTGTACGCAATGGAAAGCTCTGCCAGCCTCAGCCCAACGTACTCACCGACTGTTCTCTCTCGCAGGGGAAGTCCTCGGAAAGTTTTCTCTCTTGATTGGCGGCTATCTTCGGGGCATTCACACGTAGGTTGAACGCGCGCACGTCCGACCTGCCCACGCGCGGCTGGCGCCACAATTGTTTGGCGCCGCCGCCGCGCGTTCCGTATTGATTCTCACGGCCGCCGAGCGACCTCCCCCGCCGGCCGCCGGTGTGGACTCGTCCGGCGCGGCGTTGTAGATGGCGCTGCGAGCGGTGTCGGCCGAGGTCGTCGCGATGTAAACGAACGCCGTCTGGCCGGGCCGGCACCTCCGGGGTAGGGGGGGGGGGGGGAGGGGTGGTGCAACTTGCACGTTGCAGAGCGTCTTTTGCTGACCAGCGGCGCGACACCTCAAACTCCGCTGGCTCCCAGTCCTGAGGATGAGAAGATGGGTAATGAATAGGTATACATCAGGATCAGCTGCTACTGTCACGCTCGTTCTACATACAGACGGGGGATAGTTCAGCATTCCAAGGCAAGATTCGAAAGCAGTGCTTTACACTTGACTAGAATACAACCAAACCGATATCTTTTTAGCTTGGTATACTCGTATATGCAAGAGTTGCTTCAGGGAATGAATAAAGCCTCCTCACATAATCGCGATGTCGAAAGTCTCGTTATGACTCACGTGTGCCTACCTGATACATTTTTCTCCCTACAGCTCACATTCTTACCCATTCCCATAGCATTGTAACGCACTCCACCTCCAGTCTCCATTCATCCCCTGCTGCTTCCTGAAGCCCTCCCGGCGCTCGGCGTCGGTCGGCACCGGCGGTGCCCCCGCTCGGGCCGCCGTGTCCGGTGTGCTGGGGGCAGCGGCGGCCGGCCTTGGTCGGTGTCCGTCCGTCCGTCCGTCCGTTCGTGCGGGGAGGAGGCGGTGGAGAGCGGCAGAGGCAACACAGGTTATGGGCGTCTACTGGCACCCGGCCACCACACGGCGACAAAGAAGGGGAGGAGGATGGACGAACGGAGGAAGAGAGGTGGACCGATAGCCGCCCCGGCGCCCGCGGGCCGCCCGGTGGCTGGGTGCGGCCGGGGGCTTGGAAAAAGGTCACGGTTCCGGTAAATACAATGAGATGGTTTGGTATGCAAGTTCGTTGGAATGGACAGAGGTATATGCAACAACGGCAACTTTGAAAGCATGTTGACATGCAAGAGAACATTTTGATATGGTGGTAGGGCGTAGTGGGGGTTTAAAGTAATATGAAAATAATAAGCGCCAGTCACGATTCGGATGAACATATAATCTATAAACACGGCGAGAAGTTTCGTCACAAGTAATCATTGCAAGCTCGCTTCAACTGACTGTCTATGGATGCAATAATAGCATGCCCGGCGGTAAGGCAGTTGTCACCGTCAATGGCACCCATCCAACCCGCGCCGGGCCGCGCCGGGCCGACGGGCGAGGGTCGAGCTGCACCTGAGGAGAGGGGAAGGGAGGAGGGGCGCTGGCGCCGGGCCGTCGGGGCTGACGGCGGCGACAGCGATATACCATCAGTCGACCCCGGGAGAGTCCTGAGACCGGTCTGGTGGGTTCAAACCGGATCGAGGACCGACACACCTCCGTGGTCGACCAATGAGCGCCCACCACCGGTGGGCAGGCTCGCTGGCCCGCTGGGGACGGGTGCCGGGTACCGATGCCGGGCCTGATAGCCGTCCGTGGCGCGGGCAGACGCCCGTCACCATACGCAACCGAAGTCGTGACGTCACGATAAGTGGCTGGGGCATAATCAGCTGACGGCCCCGTGCTAAAGCAATGGGGCAATATTTTGCCGATCTTTCCCAAGAAAACTGGACCTAGTTAGATAGTTTTAGTAGCTGAATTTAGAACAACTATGTATGATCTATTTTTCTATGAAAAAATATTGCAAAATCTAACAACGCAAAGCACAAAATTTCGTGAAAACCTAATTGGCGGCGAAGTTGACGCAGAAATACAAAACATTTTAGATCAAGAGGTTTAAAATAATGGATTTAAAATAAAAAAGATTTTCAAAATAACTTATATGGTGAATTTTCTCCTTTGCTTTTCACAAATAAAAAATATTTATCCAGCTCAAACTCAAATATGTCAAACCTTACGCATCAAAATCCTCCCGACGCGGTCACAGTTCGCATCTCAAGGTCATGTATTTGGTGCGTCAAGTTCGCCGCCCGTAACAATTTCGCGAAATTCGGTCCTTTTCGCTTTGAAACATAGCATTTTTTGGGCGTAGAAAAATAGAATATACTCAGTTTACCTAGAAACTGGCCCCCAAACTATCTAACTAGGTCCAGTTTGTTCTAAAAATGCTGATAAAATTTCGTCCCATTGCTTTAACACAGGGCCGTCAGCTGATTATGCCCCAGCCACTAGTCATGACGTCACACTTCGGTTGCGTGACGCAACCGAAGTCGTGACGTCACGATAAGTGGCTGGGGCATAATCAGCTGACGGCCCCGTGCTAAAGCAATGGGGCAATATTTTGCCGATCTTTCCCAAGAAAACTGGACCTAGTTAGATAGTTTTAGTAGCTGAATTTAGAACAACTATGTATGATCTATTTTTCTATGAAAAAATATTGCAAAATCTAACAACGCAAAGCACAAAATTTCGTGAAAACCTAATTGGCGGCGAAGTTGACGCAGAAATACAAAACATTTTAGATCAAGAGGTTTAAAATAATGGATTTAAAATAAAAAAGATTTTCAAAATAACTTATATGGTGAATTTTCTCCTTTGCTTTTCACAAATAAAAAATATTTATCCAGCTCAAACTCAAATATGTCAAACCTTACGCATCAAAATCCTCCCGACGCGGTCACAGTTCGCATCTCAAGGTCATGTATTTGGTGCGTCAAGTTCGCCGCCCGTAACAATTTCGCGAAATTCGGTCCTTTTCGCTTTGAAACATAGCATTTTTTGGGCGTAGAAAAATAGAATATACTCAGTTTACCTAGAAACTGGCCCCCAAACTATCTAACTAGGTCCAGTTTGTTCTAAAAATGCTGATAAAATTTCGTCCCATTGCTTTAACACAGGGCCGTCAGCTGATTATGCCCCAGCCACTAGTCATGACGTCACACTTCGGTTGCGTATTGCTAATCGAGGTGGCTGGTATGAAGGCCGCTACCTAGGCGGAGGGAGAGAACGATGGCGATGATGGAAGGTGCTTTCTACGTATATGCATGCCTTTGCATTTATGTGCGCACTGCGCAGTGCAATGTATCAAATTATGCAAGAGCTAAGCAACGCCACCTGCTGACGATCGGAAAGAGCTGGAAACTGTTCTTTCCTCTCAGAATAAATTTTGAATGTGCCCATCCGAGGTATCATCATAATTATTATTGCGACAAAATACGCCAAAACCTGAAAGTTGTGCACTGTGCAGTGTGCAGGCCCGCAAAGTGCAAACTCTTGCATGTTGATTTCAAACCTTAAAAACTGTAAAGCCGATGAACAAACGCTGGCCCCAGACGAACAAACAAACAACGCTGCAAAATAAGTGCCTGGAGTCCATAGAAATACTGGAGTCAGTGTATCGAGGCGAAGCACGTTCGACGGCGTACCCTAACTCCCCGGCGGACCGGTCTGTAATCTTTGGTCACAGCTGGCCGGAGAAACCGGTCCCCGGCACACAGCGTCCCTGAGGTCGGGCGGACGACCGAGCGGGCCCGCGGGCCGACACCCGGTCCCGGCGACCCGGTGGTGGAGCCATGAAAGTAGGTGAACAGGGGCACAGGGACTGGCCCGATGGAGGAATCAAAATGACAACCTAACAGTGAGGGATTCGAATAAAGACTCGTGACAGGAATTCGCAAATTGCAAATGTTTGAAAAACTGCATGGTAAACATCTAAGACAATGCACTCGTACTTCTAGAGTTTGGTCACTTTGTGAGTTTTTTATTGCAACCTCTGAAAACACACCAATCATCGCATAATTTAGCCGGCTTAAGCAGTGTACGTGAATGAAAACGGAATACAGTCTGCAAACAGCTGAAATTGATTTCACCATAGTCGTGCACGCTCCGGCCAACAGCCCTTCAAAACTACCGAATTGAGGGCACCAAAGTGTATGAACTATGAACTGTGCAATTCGACACAAGGTGGATTGAAGAGTTATTGGTACGTTACTGAATCATGCGGTCATGAAAAAATTTGGTAGCTACTAGCCAGACAGCCAAGGCCAAGTCAAGGCAGCAATTACATCAGCGACAGCAGCAAGGCAGGCAGCGACTCGAGGGGCGGCATCTGTCGGAGAGTCAGCGCAAGCTGTCTACCGCTAGATGTCAGTAAAGAGAGCCAATGCACTTGGGTGGAAGGCAATTGACTTGAGCGGATAGCGGGGTAAAGCACCCATCAGAGCCTCTCACCTCAGCACAGGCCGTGCAGTGTGGGTAGGTGGGCGAGGAAAGGATCAGTCGTCGCATCGGACGCAGCGGCGACAGTCACAGGCCGCGTTATTCTCGTGCGAACGTCCTGAAAACGTTGCCGTCTGGTTAGTCGGTGAGCTAGGGTATGGTCCAATTGCAGGCAGTTATTCAGGTAGGTAACAGTAAATTAGCTGAGAACCGTGAACATTGTTAGCAGTTTATGATGGAATATTTGCGTCGATGTTTAAAAAAATGAAGTAAATGCGAGGAATCAGCAGTTTGATTAAAATGAACACTATGCGGTTGGGATGCAGCGTAGAAAAGTTTGGATATGCGCCAAGCAGCTCGGAGTGAAGGCACAAGAATATCAATGCATCACCATCCAAGCACAACACTTGGCAAAAAGTCGGTACTCTGTAGCACTGTCAGCAAAACTATGGTATGATCAAAATATACAGCATAAATAAAAAAGAGCATATTTGAACAAACCTTTATTGGGTCTTAGATAAAACGTCTTCAAAATAACAAACTCCTATTTTTAGCTGGATCTAAATGGCTTAGTTCTAACTTATACTGAAGAACAATAAATCCGTCGCAACGCACATAGCAACAAACCGTCATACATTATCATACAACACTTACAAAATCTCATTCGTCGCATTCCCAGCACAGATAACCGCCCAATACAGACAACCGTCAACCATCGCTTCATCTCAATCTCCAATCCACATTCTTTAACACCTCTCACGCGTGCAGCCCCGATCACCACACGTGTCATCACACGAACACACCAGACACATCCTCCAGCCCTCCCCTCCCCATAGTCACCGTTCAGTCCGCCCAGAAGCCGGTTGTACTCTCGCGTATGGTGGCCGCGTTATCCCTCCTCGAGCGGGTCACCGCACTGGCATCTCCCTTGGCGCGCAGCCGCTCGGCCTGGTGGCGGCGTTTGCGGCGCAACTCGCGCGCCAGCCGGCGCTGCAGCACCTCTGGCGCGATGGTGGAGGCGGCCGTGCTGCGGCTCCGCTGGCTGGCAGACCGCTGGATGGCCTCGTTCAGCTGGCTGCGCGCCGCCAAGCGCTGCTCCTCGAGTCTGCGCTGTTTGAGTCGCTTCATCTCACGGCGCCTCGCCGCTGCTGCCGCCTCGTCCTCGTCTCCCTCTGAGGAGACAGTGCCCTCCTCCGCCGAGTCCTCCCCACTCCGACCGCCGCCGCCGCTCGAGTCTAGTCCAGAACCGTCTCCGTCCGAGCCGTCACCCGTATCCGAGCGCAGCGCCACGCGGGTGGCCGAGTCGAGCGGGAACGCCTGTGGCCGGTCCGGCTGCTCCGAGACCACTCCCGTGGGAGTCTCCTCCTCCAGTGACTCGACAGCGTCCTTGAAGCTGTCATCCTCACTCCCCTCCTCCGAACCGGCTCTTTTCTGCTCCTCCTCAACTCGGCTGGATTCCTCGTCATCTGACTCCTCTCCCGTCTCCGAGCCGTCGTCTTCCTCGCCCAGCCCGGCCACCGTGTCGAACTCTGCGAACTCTTTGCCGTAGCCGCTGGCTCTGATTTCCGTGTCTAGGTCCTCTGTCCGAACCACCTCCGAAAACACAGGGTAGTCGTCGCTCTCAAACCGGAAGCGTCTGGCGAAGAATCTCCTCAGACATTCGACGTCCCGCTGAAACAGGTGTTCGGCGTTCGGGTGTGACGTGCTCACCATTTGCGGGAAGTCGATCAGGATGATGTGTTCCTCATCGGTCACCATCAGGTTGAACTCGTTGAAGTCGCAGTGGATGACGCCGCACTCGGCCAGCCGAATCATCAGCTCCATGCACTCGCCGTAGAGCCGACGCGGGTCGGAGAGATCCCTCAGCTCGCACAGCGGTTCGCCGTGTACGATGGACATCAGCACCGCATGCCGATTCTGATAAATAGGCCGCGGCACTGGAAAGCCGCGCTCGTGGAGTGCCTTCATGTAGGAGAACTCTTTTCGCGCCGACAGCGTCGACAGGTACAGCCAGGACATGTGCGAGCGGTTCTTGTGGTAGTCTCGTAGCAGTTTGAGCTTGCGGAACGACGTGCGCCCGAGACGGTGAAACTTGAGCGCCAGCGCCTCGCCGTGCGTGTCATACGCCGCGTACACGTCCGATTCCTTTCCGGTGCCGATCTGATTACCGAAACCGTCAATGACGTTCTCAGCAACCATGCTGTGCAGCGCGAGGAAGTCATACCCACTGACTGTCAGCCTCAGACCGTCGTAGCGCCTGCCGCGCTCATACGCTAGCAGTTTCGTGTTCTGTAGCTGTCTGATAACCTTCTGAGCGCCACCTGAGCGCAGGTTCGCCAGAGAGCACGCCAGGGGAGTTGACACCAGCTCATGGTTTCGCATGCCCATTTCTACACCCTGCAGGACACGAAAGTCCTCCTTGGACATGTAGCGCAGGATGCCCACATCTAGACGACCCATAGTGAACGGGTGGACGGAGACGGACGGACGCAGCCAGATCGTCTGTTGAAATGTTGGAAGTCAGTTAGCAAACACTGAAGGCACAAATTGCAGAGCAGTCATACAGCTTCCCCTTGGTGTTGTGTTCACAGAGTTGCAACAAAAAACCAAAGTGACTGGCACAACTACTGACAAGGAACACAAAATAATGCAAATATAAATGGAGAGTGGTCAAAATATTAGTCTGATGCCTGATGGGACTGGGTCTGGGATTGGTCTGGGAGTAGCCACGTAACTGCCAAGTGCGAGGCACGCAGGCCAGGTAAAAATTTTATTTTTGTTTTGGTTGCATATTACTTGATTTTGATTTAAAAACAATTTTTAGCGAAAATGGAAAACATTTTGACATTCCAACTTCAACGAAACGTGGGCAATATAAAATATTTCCACGTAACACGGTTCGGTGTAATTCAATCCAAGGCCATATAGGTTCTTTTGAAATGTTTGATTCGATCGTGAACGTACAAAAAGGTCAGTTTGATAGAGATAAAAATATAAAAATTCACAGCATCCGTACCCCACGTGCGCACTCGAACGTCTCTCACGTTGCAGACTGTTTGTATCAAGGATATGAAAATAAATTTCTAAAAACACAGCTACAAAATTGTTGCAAATTTGTCTTCGCTTCACCCTCACAACTTGTTTTTGATGGGTTTTAGTTCAACCATTTCGTATAACCATATCTATGTTAAATCTTTATGTTTTTTTAACATAATGGATCATTTTAGTCTATTAAACTGTTAAACAATGCGCTTTAAAATACAAACTTCCCAATGCACCGACACAGCAGTTTAGGCGGTTTGGTGCTTCTTCTTTTGTCACAGATCCTCTTGTAAACGTGTTTTCGGTGCATTGATGAATTTTGTAAACTGAATTGGTGGGGCCCCGGAGTTTCTCGCGCCGGGGGTGAGGTTTTTATGTTTTTTGATGAATGCCAAGTGTACTTAATCTCCAATGATATTGAATGAAAATGCTTGATTTCGGCTAGTTTCGCAACATTTTGATTTGTTCCTCTATTTTTATTTCAAGTTTGAGTTTGAGTCATAATAACGGGATCAGGATAGCAATTCAGCATTTCTGATTTCAGCAGGAATTCACAGCATTTCAATTTCTTAAAAGTTAAATAGGTTATTTAGGTATGTCTCTTGCTCCAGTTCAAACTATTCTGCCTTACCTCATAGTCCTATTGCCATCGATTTGAATTGTATCAAACATTTCAATTTCATGCCATGATGCCTAGTCGAAAAGTGTATTGGTATGACTGTAAACGTATGCTTATCTGACCTTTTGATTTTTTGCACCTACTGTTTTCAGACAAAGATGGCAACACTGAAGTACGCTGTGGGTCTGGCACCCTCTGACCCAGACAGCCAGCCGGTGATGGTTCTGGGCCAGATCCGTCACCTGGCTCGAGTCAGCTGGGACACCATCAAGGTCAAATTGGAGCCTCAGGTCTCAGAGGCAGTAAGTATCATACAGTTTAATTTCTTATCCTGTTTCCATAACATTTTTTCTGTCAGCTACAACTGAGTGAAATATTGTACATGTGGCTGAACTGTAACATGAATTGTGATGGACAATGCTAGTTTTGAAAAATGATCTGTGATCATGGATCTGAGTGTAGGATCTTTCATCTTGTGGATCTCTGAACAAACTGAAGGCTAGGTTCTCTATTTCCATAGAATACCACATGGAAAAATGTGTAATCTTGTGGCTGAAAGTATCTGGTTGTAAGTAAAGGGTCATGTAGGATCCATTCCATGTGGACCTCACACCACTCAACCTCTTAAATGATGACCCTAGGTGCTTTTTATGACATTAAGTGCTACATACTTGTGAAGTGTGGTCACATTAAATGTCTCAGACAGGTCCATTGCATTTTAAACTCCTCAAAGAAAAAAATGTCATTAATGTCTTGAACAAAAGTCATATGAGGATTTAACAGAAATTTATCCAGAACCTTCATTGAAAATAATCTTCAAATTCAATATCCAAGCAGATCTGTCATGAAAATATCAGAAATGGATGTGTAATCCCAGCTCACTTTTCTCAGCTCAAAGCACATCTCAAATAGATGTTTTTTTTGTCACAGAATCTGCAAAGTAAACAGGTACCTATTTTAGATAATCACAAATATACAGGCTGGTCAAGTGCCCATACCACTTAAGAAAGGTTTTAAGTGGAACTCGAACTGTTGCATTATGTTGATGTGGTCAGTGGTATGAGTTTTGTGTTGTGTAAAGTATAGTGCTGGCTGTTGTGCTGTAACATGGCGAGGAGGAGCAGTTTGGAATTGGTCCATATTGTTACATTATTTGTCTTGAGGCCTGTGAACATGCTGAAGAGCTGAAATGACTCATTGGGGCTGTTCCATAGGTATTGGTGGATAAAATTTATAGAGCTTCAATCATGAATGAAGGAGTGTTAATTCGTATCCACAGGACAGTGCTATTATATGTCATTTGCCCATGGCGTGTCATTGTTACCTGATGTCTTGTTATTTTGGATGAACTGCTACTTTAAAGCAATCTTAATTGTGCAGCTGACTTCTGACATGCAGTGGGTGTTTTTCTCCTTCCACATTGAGTGCTGGTGCATGTTTGCAAAGGCTGGATCTGCTTTGGTCTCACACTTGGTAATGTTCATCAGTGATTAACTCTTTTTATGACCCACAGTCTCGATAATGCTGAACTTTGTTTTACCAGCCTGCATCACTTTCTTTTCGCATAATTTTCCACCCTTCCCGCACCTCTACCTGCCCCTTTTCACCCTGACAGGTATGGCAGCGAGCCGTCTCGGAGCTCTTCCCGTCGCCCACGGACTCTCTGCACCTGTACCTGAACCAGGCCACGCTGGCCGCTCTGCCTGGCAAGTGTTCGCGCCATAACACACCGTCTCGCGCGCACAGCGTCACACGACTGGTGCGCTCGCTGCTGACTGGCGCCGACCAGACTGTCGTGGTGAGTGGAGTGGACAGCGTTGTATCCACGGTTCGTAGTCGTACGGCACACGGGTGTGACTGAATTGAGAGTGGGAGGGTGGGGATGGAGCTGGGGTCGCAAGTTGAGGGTGAATCAGATGTGTATACATGATAATTGCTAGACACAAGTGCTAAGTGCCAAATGGCCGAATGTCTTGGTGCTGGCTGAGGATGTGATTGAGATTGTTTCGGTCGATTGATGACGTGTATAAGTGTGACTCTTTTTGGATCGGTGAGCGCTGTTAATCGTTTTTTTTTTGTACTTTCATTTTACTTAAGATGCACTCATGCAATGTTAAGTTCGAAAAAAGCTGGGCAGCATTCTCCAGAGTGAAGATGGCCTAGTATTATTCTAGTGTTTGGATATCCGTTCACAAACGTTTCTTGATTTGCTCGCAATCTACAAATCACTGTGCTTACAAAAGTGTGATGATATCGAACCAGTCGTTCTTTCATGGACGTTATCCTCCCCCGCACCTCTGACCCCCCTCCCCCCCCCCCCTCTCCGCTCTCCCAGCTGGTATGTGAGCGTGCCGACATGCTGGCCACGGGGTGCGCGGTGGCGCGCGCGCTGCCGCTGTTCACGCGCAAGTCGGGGCCGCAGCCGGAGCCGACCATCACCGTCGAGGTGTTGGTGGTGGATGGGGAGCAGGCTTCCGCCGAGGAGGTGAGTATGGATGGGGGCTGGAATGAATGATAGGTCGTTGAGGCACGTGAAAAATGAGGCAGTCCCTAATAGCTAGAGTCAGGCTAAGTCTGGAGGTCTTATGGGACGCACCAGCTACCAAGTAGGATATTCTAGGCTGCTTGATCGCCAAGTTTAAGTGTTAGATGTTCAGAAGTTCATGTTCAAGGAACTTCTACGATTAATACCTTGCTGGTATGTTTCCACACGCTATGAATTTGATCTTGTTGCGATGCCGTTCCTCCCGCTGTGTGGAGCCAGTACAGTATCGGGATTTTAGAGCATCGCACAGCACCTGACTCGGATGTCTTCACCCGGCTGGAGTGTCGGTTCTTCAGTCGGTTCTGCACATCCGCACAACGCCTCCTCATACCAACATCTAACGGTCCTTGTGCGCCGACTGACTGTCTGGGCACTGAGATTGTTTAGCTAACACAGGGCTCCCAGTGTCATCCGCCTCACCCTCTGCGTCTGAGTAGGATCAACGTATTTAGCCCGCCACTCACGATATCCGTCCTACCCACTGTCTGACTGTTTCTCTGTGTATTTCTGCCTGAGCAGGTTCAGCTAATGCAGGACGCCGCGCGCGGCATTCGCCTCACTGCCAGGCTGGTTGATACGCCCGCCAACGAGATGCACACAGATGCCTTTGTCGAGGTTAGTTATTCACTTAAACCCGTTTGTGTGTCGGTTGGCATGTGTTCACGGCCTTAGTGGGAGGAAAGATAGCGTATGTGCTCTAATCTCGAACTCAGTACTAGTCGCCGAGACTGAGCGTGGCTTCAGGCTGGCTGAAAGTCTGGTATTCTTACTGGTTAGGTCGGATAGCCAAACGAGTGGTTAGATACAGATAACATGCATGAGTACCTGAAGCACGTACTTATGTTCAGTCAAGAGGCTGCGAGATTATCAGTCAAGTGGTCCTTGTGAGGCATAGCAACACTGCAGCTGACTCGGCCTGGAGCCCTAGCATGACATCCTGGTCTGACATGTTGATCTGTGTGACCTGACCTGACCTGACCGTCACTGTGTCTATTCAGGAAGTGAAGAAGGTAGGAGAGGAGCTGGGCGTCTCCCTCACCCTAATCCGCGGCGAGGACCTCAAGGCGCGGGGGTTCGGCGGTATCTATGGAGTCGGTAAGAACGATACTCACATGGGTCCACGGAAGTGCCATGTCGCCTAGTAACAGCTGTGATGATTAAGCTTGTTTATGCTTATAGACGTGTAATTTATGGACAGTGGACGCCCTTGAATATTTTAAACTAGCATGGCTGGCGTAAGTTCAATGCCGGAGCCCACTTGCTACAACTACTGGCAGCATATGACTCACCAATTTTGCACTGCATTCGTCCTGCCCAACCCCTGACGATTGACCCACCCTGTTTCTTACAGGTAAGGCTGCCGTACACCCGCCGGCACTAGCAATTCTCAGTCACACCCCTGCTGGAGCCACTCAGAGTATCGCCTGGGTCGGCAAGGGCATCGTGTACGACACGGGCGGCCTCTCAATGAAGACCAAAACCACCATGCCCGGTATGAAGCGGGACCTGGGCGGAGCAGCTGCCATTCTCGGTGCCTTCCTCGTCACGGTGAAGGCCGGGTTCACACAGAACCTGCACGCTGTGTTCTGTTTGGCCGAGAACGCGGTGGGGCCGATCGCCACGAAACCGGACGATATACACACGCTATACTCGGGAAGGTGAGTTTTGAAGTATGGGAGATTCGTGATGCGAGTAGCTTATATGGTGCTTGGGGTTTTTGGAGCAATAATAGTGCTCTTTGCGCCTATCAAGCGCTCTAATGAAACTATCAAATGCAGGCAAAATGGGTGTGTTATGGTTTTGTCTCACTGTTTTCAAAGGTGGTAAGCTAGTATCCTGTAAGAAAAGTCGTTTAGTCCGTTTTTAGTGTCCGTTTTCACCGTCCCAGCAGTGTGCTTTTTTCTTGTTCTCTTAATTTTTTTTATTAATTCTCTTTTCCGTTTCTAACTCCGTCTGATTGTGGAACCTAGCGCTGAAGCTCCCTCTGCCCCATTTCAGGACGGTAGAGATTAACAACACAGACGCGGAGGGCAGGCTGGTCCTAGGTGAGCAACAGAAACAAACTCATCAGAACTTGCACGCCACCTATTATGTACTGGATTTGGCTGTGCAGTTCCATATCGTTTGCGATTGATGCGGCGCATTGCACTTCAGGATTGTTATCGTGCAATTTTGAATATTTTTCCCCAAGCTTTGTCTCGCTGCCTTTTGCAGTCTCGTTTTAGTGCTGGCATCGGACAGTGTGGGCATCTTCGGGGTCGCCGAGGAGCTGTATCTGTATGTCGTCTGTACATAATCTGGTTGTCTCTTTCAGCCGACGGCGTCGCCTATGCCAACAAAGACCTCAAGTGTACAACGATTCTGGATATGGCCACCCTCACCGGGGCTCAGGTAAGCAAGAGTATTCTAGTGCCTGGCTGGGTATAGGTAGAGCTCACAGATCAACCCACCTCTGGTTCATATGACTTGCAGAAATAATTGATCCCTTGTGCAGTGCATATTTATCGTATTTATGCAGAAGGTATCTTACTTTCTGTATTTTCACCTTCTGATGCCAATCGCTGGTGTAGCACGCCGTACGACCGCTCTAAATAAAAATCTCGCCATCACCATAATTGCTCAACTCAACGTCGTTCATTTATGTTCACACATTATCATTCACTCACTAATCTCCTTTTCTTAACTAACCCCTCGCACCGCCGACCCTCCTGCACAGGGCACCGCCACGGGCAAGTACCACGGCGCGCTACTGACTAACGAGGACACCTGGGAGGTGCTGGGCGCGGCGGCCGGCCGCGCCTCGGGAGACCTGCTCTTCCCTGTGCCGTACACGCCCGAGCTGCACTTCAGCGAGTTTGCGTCCAGCGTGGCCGATATGAAAAACTCGGCGGCGGTGAGTCATGGGTGAAAGAGAGGATAAGAGGGAGAGGACGACAAGGGAGAGAGATGATGAGTGGGATTGAGTAGGAAGCGGTGAGGATGAATAGCAGGCGATGGAATAATGTGGGTCTGGCGATATATTTAATAATCGGTTTAGTTAGATATTCATGTTATGCAGATAGTGGTGTAATCTTAAATCAGGTACCCAACCTACATACGCCTTTTACATTTTGATGTATCATTTTCGCGACACTCTTGTCGCGCGTAAGTGAGAGGAGAATCGTTTTTGTCGTAGCCTGCTTAGGGCTTTGATAACGACAGCTTGTCACCAGCACGCTATATTCACCCAGTGCCCGAATGTGTATCGGTTTTTCGCACATCTCTCCGCTTCAGTCGTTCACCATCACCCTCCGCTCTCTCCCCCTCTGTACCCGACAGGACCGCAGTAACGCGCTGGTCTCGTGCGCCGGCCTCTTCATCGCTGCCAACCTCGGCTTCGACTTCCCTGGCTCGTGGATTCATGTGGACATGGCCTCGCCCGTCCACTCGGTAAGTGGCGCTGCAGTCGCGGCTGTGTGGTGGATCCCGTTGTGGATGGGGGGGGGGGGGGGAGGAGCTGCTCAGATTGGGTTAGAATTCCAAGCTATGATGTATTTTCATGTTGCTGTAATCAGATGTCTTGTCTCATGCTACATTATTCCAACTGGATTTAAAGTCGACTGAAATAATCAAGCTGCCGTTGTGCTGTGTCGGTCCATCGCTTCAAGCTTGCTTGATACATGCTCGAAGTTTCTGGTTCACGCTTCCATCATAACTCGATAAGTTCCAGCATATTGTGTCCTCGTCCGTCCGCGGCGACTACATAGATGCCAGCATCGCGTGATCCTTTGCGCTCCTCCTCTGTGGTTTAGTGCTCTGCTGACCCCCTATCTCTCTCGCCGCAGGGTGACCGAGCCACCGGCTACGGCGTAGCGCTGCTGTGTGTGCTGTTCGGGGCCCACTCGTCGCACCGCCTACTGCAGGCGGTGGCGCCGCCGCTGCCGCCGCCCGCCGGTCACACGGACGGCACCAACTCCAGCAAGAAGATGCGCCTCGAACAGAGGCGGCCGTGAGGGCGCCGGGGAGGTGAGAGAGCCTCCGTTCGGGACGTGTGTGCCTGCTGGGGTCGGTGTCGGCCTCCCGGGGAGGGTGACGGACGGGAGGGGGTCGGTTGTGCCTGTCTGTGCCGGGCGGCGCGGATCCCGCCGCGGCTAGTTTTATTTACCGTAGTCTCGTCTGGATGGCAGCCGCGGGCGCTGCGCGCGCCGCTCCTACTCGTCGTGTGATTAACAGAGCCGTGTTCCTGTACGGGGCGGCGGCCGCCGTCTTCCGCGCACACTGCTGCCGCTGTGATGCCGCGTCCAGGTCACCCTCGTTTGTACCTCAGTTCAACGTTCGCTCACTCACGTACAAAAGCAGTTATTAGTCAGGTTTGCCGCGGAGTGACGCGCCGCGCCGCGCACTGTCTCGGCTGCCAGGAGAGCCGGCTCTCGGCTGAGATAGAAACACCCCGCTGATTAAAACTGGCCGCGCTGGGGTGATTATTTTTTGCTTCATTCCGTGGGAGACGGCATGTGACGAGCTCGTGCCGAGAACTGCTGACCCGGAGTTCAGAAGTTCCCCGCACGCAGGACCCATGCCCCGTGCCCCACACGACCTGGATCGGAATACCTCTCGCGTTGTGTTTGTGTTAATCTCTGCACGAATTATTGTTGCTAGTTTCCGGTAATTGAGAGGCAGTTTTTCGCTCGACTCCGCCTCTCTGACGAATGATCAATGTTTAATCAGGCTCGTCCGCGCGTGCAGTGCCGCCGCCGCGGGTCAAATTGTACCGACAGCCCGCCGCAGCTGCCGACCCCGTGTACTCTGCGTGTCGCAATCAATACACGTATATGGTTATCGCTAACGAAAGTGCGTGATTGGTGAGATGGGGTGAGCGGCGGGAGAGGGGGTGAGCAATATGTGCTTTTTCAGAATTAGTTCGGCACTGACTTACTGGTCCTTCGAGCTTTTTGGAGGCTGAGCTCACCGTGGGATCGCGAAGTTCAGCCATGCTTCGTTCGAGCGCAAACGTATGATATATTATGTCCTTATCTTTGTGGTATGAATATGTCGGTATGGTATAGGTATTATATATTTTTGTTCAGTTTCGCTCGGAACCGAATTCGTCACATATCTGTCCATTTTAAATTTATTTGAGTACATCGATGTTTGCATAAAGTACCCTACCATTGTACAAACTTCACTGCGAAAATCAAAAGGTTCAGGTAGCTTTGATTCAAGTAGTTATTTTCGTTCTGCTGATAGGCGACACTGATTGTTCAATGTTCAGTTTGACCTGTGCATGAGCAAGGCTCTCAAACGCCTTTCGAACAGCAGACGCGAGTGACTAGCGTAGTGGAGGCTTGAAATTGAAAAAAAAAAACACGTAAGCTCACAAAAGACGTGTACAAAACGCGCGCTTCACTTCCGAATTACGTGTTTGCCTCAAAAGGACAGGGCGTTGAGTTTTAGCGTTTGATGTTTTGAATGGGAACGGCCTCGCCTTCGCCAAGCACAGCGACTTCTGTGACGTTCCGGCGCTTGCGCTTTTTGAAGAAAAAGATACATAAGGTGAAATGGCTCCTGAATTTATAGGCCATGGAACGTCTGCCGTCCAAAGGAAGAAAACCGTAAGCGCCATTTACCAAATTTTACAGGAGAGCACTTTTTCGGTTTTCATTTAATACACTCTTACAGAGTGGATGTTTATTGTAAAATTAGGTATAGAAATGATGCTTTCTTTATCAGCAACCTACTGATATGCTTTATTTCCCTCAAAATTGAATACTTTTTGCTATATTTCAATAAATGCTTTTTTCCTTAGTCAACAAGTCAACATTTAGGTGCATCTGTCAAGTCAAATAAACGTATGTCAAGCCTGAATCTCACGGATGGCGGATACGCTTATTTACCTTGGTCACCATGGGCCGAGAAAAAGTGGCAAAAAGACGTATGATGTGACTTACGTCTTTTTGTTTTTGATACTAACCTCCGTCTTCCTACTCAATGACCGGCCAAAAAGCGTAAGTGCACGATACGCCTTTCTGCCCTTTGTCATTTCAGCCGAATTCGAGATAAAGTGACAATAAAATAGCCGTATGTCGTACCAGAAAATGAATGAAATGAATGAAAAGGAAAGAATGAATGAATGAAAAGCGTATTAAGTACCTACACATGAATCCGGGGCAACTGCGTAAAATAATGCGGCAAATGAGTGTAAAAACGGAGTCAGAGTCGGGGTCAGTCGAAGTCAACAATTCTGACAGGAGTTGGAGTCGGGATCGGAGCAACTTTGGAAGCCGGAGTCGGAGTCGCGACTTCGACTCTGCATAATTCATTGCCTGGACAGCGACACGCAGGGATGCGGAGTCGGGGTCGGAGTTTGAGTAGGAGTTGGTCGGAGTCTACAGTTCTTCACGAAGTCGGAGTTGGAGTCGATTTTGGGAGCCGGAGTCGAGTTACCGAAAATCTCGACCGCTCAGCCTTGGTCAAAACAGAAGCGTCGCTTTCCTTCTAGCTCAGGATGTACCGCACTGTTGTCTTGGCTCTGTTCTGCAGAGCAAGCAAGAAGTCTGTGGCGGGAGATCAGCCCCAGCAGATTCTTGCATGGCTCGTCGATTTTCTTGTGCAGCATACGGGTAAAGATCCGGAGGAGATTGCCTTCTCTTTAGTGCTCGAAGGTACGGCTCTCGCGAAATTAAGCGGTAGGTTTGCACTTTTACATTTCCGGTTATATCTCAGAAACTAATCGAACTACGATGAAGCTATTTCACGATCATGGCCGGCTTGTGAACCAACAAGTCGATCGCATCTTCAACACTTATAGGCGACGAATATATAGCCTGAAGTACACTAAATTTTCTAGGTGCAAACTGCAAAACCTACCGTTAAAACCCGCGAGACCTGTACATACCTGTAATACGGTACCGCCGGCGCATACGACATGCTGACGGGACGCTATCGTGTCACAGTCACACTTAATTGTGTGAGTTCCACCTCCTCGCCTGTCCTTAGGAGTGGCTGACTGCGTACTTGACTGCTCCACCCCGTTGTGTATCGAAGCATCGTTGCAGGGTAGGCGGTGGTCCGTACCATAACCGGCTGCCCCCTGTCCACCCCGGTTCACGTTGTGATGACGGAAACCGGGCTGATGCCGGTGGCCGCCCGCCGGGCTGTTTTAGAGGCCAAGCTCCTCGCCAAGGCATACGTGCTCATCGAAATGACCCGCTCAGGTCAGCCGCGGAGGCGGAGGGGCGACACCGGCTGAAATTCGTGACGGACTGGTGCGAGGCCGTGTGCGATGCGTGACGGGCCGCTGGGATCGTCCCACCGTTCAGTCACCCTGCAGCCAACCCGCTCACCGCCGTGGGAGGTGACTGCCTGTCCCCACGTTACATTCGGCCTGGACATCGAGATTCTGCGACTGGGAGCCTCGGCCGATGATCTGCGCCGGGCGGCGCGGCGACTTTTGATCTTTCTTCTCCAACGAGCCACCTGGGTGTGGACGGACGGTTCGGCGGACGCTGGAGTCCACTGCGGAGGAGCTGGAGTGTTCGTGGACTGGCCGGACGACTGACGAGCCGCGCTCCCGTCGACGTCCACCAGCTCCGCGCCGGGCACTGAACCAGGTCCCAACAGTGTTTACCCAAAATCGTCAAAAGTCCCACTACCGCCTGCGCCAGGTGCGAAGATGAAAGATGCACCGCGGCCAGATGCAGCATCTGTCTTGAAGAGGCGGACACCCTGGCGCACGTGCTACTGAGGTGCATCAGTCATCACCCTCATGACCTGCGGTTTTGCGTGCTGGGAACAAACCACCCGACGACCGAGGAGCTGCGTAGCGCCGACGTGGTGGCGGCTTTGGGGGGCCGCCTTCGTCTCCCTTCAGAGCCGATTGGCTACCCCTCTTTGGGCCGCAGAGAGACAAACAACAACAGCTGAGCTCCCCGGCCGGCCATGTCTTCTCCAGCTTCAGGACGGAGCTGGCCGCGCTCCGCTCAGCCCTGGACCACATGCGAGCGAGACCATACGCAACATGCGAATCTTCCAACAGTTTTTTTTTTTGTACGGACTCCCAGGCAGCACTCGCGGCCCTCCAGGAGGGGGTTGGGGGATGACCCAAAAGTCCCCGCTGGGTACCGTCGTATGGATGGGTTTGGCAGCACTGGTCGTCCCGCCCCATCACATCCACCTGCAGTGGGTGCCGTCCCGCTGCAGCATCGACGGGAATCAGCGCGCCGACCAGGTCGCCAAGGAGGCGGCGACGCTCCCCAAGCAGCGGTCCAGGTGGATGTCGGCACCGCCCACCGCGCGGTTATCAGAATAGCATGCGACCGCGCCGTCGCCGCCTGGCCGGACGGCTGGTACCCGGGACCGATTGCCACCGCCGCGCCGATGGCGGAGGAGGACCGCTCTTTAGCCGAAGACGTTCACCAGCTCTGTGCGAGCTACTGGTCGGGGCCCCGCCAGAGCCTGCACTGGATCGTATGGAACTCTACCGTGGAGTGCTGCCAGTGCCCCGACACCGATTGCGCGGCGGGCCGGTGCACCGTGTGCCGACAGGAGGCATACACTCCTGTTGTTGTTGATTGTTGTTGATTTTCCCTCCGGCTGCGGGTGGCCCCGCGGCGTAGCCTCATCGGCTCTGGAGGGCCCTGAAGGCGGCCACCAGGGCCGCCACCACGTCACTGCGCCAGACCTCGTCGGGTGTTGGTAAGATGTTCCTTACGGCCGGGATTCTGAGGCGAACACCCATCAGGCCCGGGCACGTGAGCAGGATGTGCCGGGGGGTGTCCGCCTCTTCGCCGCACAGCGGGCACCGGGCGGCCTCGCATAGCAGGTCCCGGCATTGGGCACAGGCGGCTGAGGGGCTCTGGCCGATGGAGTGCATGAACTGGGTCGATCCACTCCAGCGGCCAGTCCGGATCTGGTGGACATCGATGGCTGATCGCCGATCCAGGTTGGAGATTGGGGGCAGGTATCTCGTACCCATCAGCTCACGGTACCAGCCGGTCGCCGCTCTGCGTGTCGGGTCCGGGTATGACGGTCTGTCCCTGGCGCCCGGTCCCTGGCTAGACGCCAGACGGACCGCAGCCTTGTAGATGGTGTTGACGTCGATGGAGGCGATTTCTTGTTCCAGCGCCGCCGCCTCTCCCGCCAGCACGTCCACCGCCTCGTTGCCTGGGATCCCACAATGGGAGGGGACCCACTGCAGCGTCACGTGGCGGTCCGGTGCAGCGATTTCCAGCAGGCGGCTCCATATCTCCGCCCCCTTGGCCGTCCTCTGGGCCGAAGGCCCCTCTCTCAGTGCAGCCAGGGCAGACTGTGAGTCAGTACAAATAAACGTATGTCCATCGAGCTTGCCATTTTGCTTGGGGACGGGTATACTGACAATGGATAAAAACCGTAAGTCCATCGTACGTCTTTTTGCCATAAGAAATTAGGCAGGGTGACCAGGAAAATAAACGTATGCGCCCACATACGGCTGGCCGAAATTGTCGGACAATCCTTTCCAGAATGGAAGATAAACGTAAGTGCATTTTTTCGGTTTCTACCAAGGCAAATAAACGTATATCCATCTGTAAGTTTATTTTCAGTTGTACCATGTTGACAATGTATGGTGGCAAATAAACGTAACTGAGCACTTGCGTCTTTTATCCATGGTTGCTCAGAGTTTTAGCCGATTTTTCGTTGATCATACGTTTTTTTGTCAAAGATACGTTTATTTGCCAGTATTATAAAATGCTTTATGTGACATAAGGTTATTTTGAAATATTTTATTCTTGTATAACTTGGTATAAAATCATTTAATATCTGTGTAATGTATATGGTTAGATGCAGAATAACATGACGATTCCAATGATACCAATAACTCATTTTCGGTAAAAGTGGCGCTTACGGTTTTCTTCCTTTGGACGGCAGACGTGCTTACTTCAGCTGTTTCCACCGGGATGGATTCGTCAATGCAGTGTATCATTGCACGGATGCTTGCTTCAACTTCACCAATTCATCACTTCCAAAAATCTTGCCCTTCCGCGAGGTTGCGTATGAATCACCTGCAAAACCCGTAAAACTAAACCCCTTCCTACATCCTCTGGTGAAGTTCCTCGAGTTGCAGCCGGTTGTTACTGATTGTCCCAGCTTGTTCCGGTTGGGTCCGGTCCAGATGGTCTGTAACTCTGTAGTCCGGCCTGGCAGGTCGGTGGTCCGGTCCAGAATCCAGATGGTCTGTTGGTCCGGATGGTCCGGATCCCACTAACGCCTGTAGGTCTCCTGCTCGTGCATCAGCAGGTCCTTGGACGAGTCAGACTTGGACATGTTTCCTCCGATGCCTGGAGGAGCGCCCATGTTCTGCGCCCTGGAAACAGGAGGAGGGAGACCCGCAGGTCAACAACGAATGGCGAGTGTCATAAAGGCGGAATTTTACTCATTCTAGGCAAGCATCGAAGCGGAAAATCTTTGAGGAAAATTTCTCAGTTAAATTTGGAACAGATACGATTCTCCCAGCTCAAAGTGTCATGGTTCTGGGCGTCATCATTGATCGGCATCTGACGTGGGAAAAACATGTATCAGCAGCTGTGCAGCGCTGCTACGCTGTGTTGATAGGCCTGGCCAGGATGCGTCACCGACTACCAGAGGATACCAAGCGCCTGCTCGTTGAAGCGCTAGTCCTTCCACATGTGCGCTATTGTATCAGTGTTTGGGGTAGCTGCACGGTAGAGCAGAAGAAGCGGATCCAGAAGGCTGTGAACTTCGGTGCTAGGATTGTAACTGGACTGGGCCGCCGCGAACATGTTACACCGGTGCTGCAGCAGCTCGGATGGGGAAAGCTGGATGATATGCTGAAGGATCATGATATCTCGATTGTAAAACGACTACTCACTGCGTCAGACGCATCGGAGATCCTGAGAGCGAAGCTCGTGCATCGCTCTGAGATATCCGGCCAGAGTACCCGAGCAGCAGCGAGTGGCCAGCTGCAGTTGCCACGCGTCAAAACAGAGATGGCGCGACGCAGTTTTCTTTTTAGAGCAGTTGCTGCATGGAACAGTGTTCTGAAGTGATAGGGCTGTCCTCGTGCCTTTTATTTTTTATCTATATAGTATCTACCTACATGTATGCATTTTAGTGGTTCTTATTTCTTTAAGGATTTCTATCTATTTTGTAGACATTTATATATTTTACCATCAGCTTGTATGCTGATGTCATGCACCTGTTTCATTGCCTTCTATATTTCCACTTTTATAGGGTGTTCATTTTTAGAGTAGCCACAGTTTAGCACTACTGTTCAATTTTAACATTGTATGTTTGATAGATAGGTGTCTGGCGTTGGTTTGTCTGTGCAATGTCTGTCAAAAGTGTTTTGCATTTATGTATTGACGTGGATACCATAAAATCCACTTTGTGGAGGATCCTAATACATTATCTATCTATCTATCTAAGCATTGCCGATTTTTTTTACAATTGTACATGAAACGCGAAGCATTTGAAGCGTGTAAGATATAATTGATCAAGTCCTTGAAAAGGCTATGTATCTCGTCACAGCTCCAAAGTCGCCCCACACCCCGCCGCTCCTCTATGACTATATCCGTTCTCAGTGCGTCCAGGACGGACAGACTGCCGCCATATCGACCACTCGCCTCTGGTTGCCCCGGTGCTTGTCCTTGCGCCGGCAGCAGCAGCCGCAGCACTTGGTGTCCTCATCGCAGCACTGGCCGTCCCAGCGGGCGTACCACATCAGCAGGCCGAACAGCACGATCACGCCGATCACGCCGCCCCAGAGCTTCACCTGAGGAAGGTGGGGAAGGTGATGTCACTGGAATGGTGGGTGATAACTTCGATAACTTCGAACCCGATAACTTCGTCACCTGTTACTCAAAACCTCGTGACCTGTCGCCTGTAAATAACATCGTGAACCGTGCCTCATGACGTGGCCTGAGCCCCTTCACAGACTCTTGACCCGTGACACATGACCTTGCGACCCCTCCCGACCCTACGACCTCCCGACCAGTGACCGTTACCTGTCGCATGATCTCCTCGTGTTCGTCCATGTCGCCGCAGCAGGAGGGTTTGGCGTCCTCGGTGCAGCAGCGACGGTCCTCTGCACATGTGTACAGCTGATTGGGGTCCTCGAAGTCATCATCGGTAGCCTCGCGAGCCTGTCCCACCACGCAGTGCTTGGCGAACGCTGTGGCAGAACGGGGATGGGTGAATTAGTGGAGGAGGTGGCTGGGAGAGGGGGTATGAAGGTAGTGATCCTTTTGAAAAGGCTGGCTGGCGTGATCAAGATATAATACTGATATTCGAACTTTGACACGAGCATCATGCCTTCTGCAGATGGAACAGACTGAATACACGCGAAAGGAGTCGAAAGATAAGTGCTCTGTACGGTTAATATAAAGTATTTACGCTGCCGTCGTTCAAGCCAATGCCAACAACCCTGAGGTCAGCCATGCGCACCGCTCACACTTCCTCCCTAGCCCTGCGTACAATACAACCACTCACACACACACCCCACACGAGCCCCTCTCCTCACAGACCCTCGGCAGCACTCACCAGCACCACAGAGTAGCAGCAGCAGGCCGGCGGTGAGGGCGGCCCGAGCCATGGCTGGGTGTCTTCTCTCCCTCAGACCACTGTGAGCCCCACACTCCACCTCGCGCCCCGGCTGGCGGTGTTACCTACAAACCATGGAGACGGGACCGGTGCCGGGCGCCCCGCCGCAACGCACCGCCTCGCCAATCAATGTTGATATGGAGACTTGACGGGGCCGGCGGTACAGCACGGTTGGAGCGTGGGTCGGAGGGGTATGGTGGTATGGTGAAAGGTGATGGTGGAATGGATGGGGATGGGCTTAGAATAGACTTGGGTTGAGATTTTAGTGGAATACCGTGGCTGGTGCACGCACGGATTGGAAAGGCGAGGAGGAGGAAGAGATTATTGACTAATGAGGTTATCGGTGGAGCCAACAAATAACTAAATGCACTTACTTTTATTACTTTTAGTTATTTGTTGGCTCCACCGATAACCTCATTACACAAATATGTCCTTAAATAATCAGATTATTGACTGTTGCGTTAGTGCTCATACCTTACGCCAGATGGGGCTTGATGAGAAATGAACGATCGAACCCAATGGAGTGAGTTAGACTTGCTAGCGTGTACAACTTTTAAGTCTTTTTTTTCAGAGTAAGGCAGGTGAACGTATGGTGAACTCTACCATGAGCATTACCACATCAATTGTCGCTCTCTGATTACTGAGCGAAAAGTCATCCCTCAACCTCAGGTCAGTACGGTCAGGTGATAAACTCAGCCCACGTGAACTTCCATGAGCTCCTATTTCGCATACTCACAATGCCGAATAAATCAGCACCACACCTGAAAGCCCGCCGACCCCTGAACGACTCCGTCGCAAGTCGCAACTGCCCCTGCCCTGATCCCCCCCCCCCCCCCCCCCAGAGCGGGTAACGAGCGATCGATACACGGGCCTTCACACGGCCGTGAAACGGTCACAGGCTGGACGCGCAAGGCCGACATACGGGGGAGGTCGGCAGTGGTGGCAACTGTAACCAGGACAGTATGTGTGGGGCGTAAAGTCGCTGAGAATGACGGCTGATCTAAAGCAGCTGAAAATGAGATTTATGGAGACTGGGCCTTTCATATTTCATTCATTCATTAAATCGTTCATTCAGCTTTCGGCAAGTGACTCGCTCCAGAAATCCGTTTCCAGTGTCCATCAGCACGATTCTCCCCCATTGAGACGCGCGTGTTCGTTTCTAAAATATACGTGTATTTATCAACCTCGCGTGACGGCCCGGTGGTTACAAAACACGTGTGTCGGGTGCGCACGGCCGGCACGGGCCGCCGAGCAGCGCCGATGCCGACGAGCCGGCCGGCCCGCCTCCCATCTGTTATATAAAAAATAACGGGATCCGGCCGCCGCCTCCCTCGGGCGCGCACAACACAAACAGTATGAAAAGGTAAAAGACCGCCGGGGCGGCGCGGCGCCGCTGCTCCGGCCGCGGGGCTGAGGGGGCGGACACGGGAGGAGCGGCGGGCGGGCCGCCGCGCGGCGCGCCGGCTCACCCCGCTCTCGAACTTGGCACGATTCTGCGCGCGCGCGCACGCGTGACGGTGGGCGCGGGCGGCGGCGCGGACGGCGCGCGCGCGACACCTATGGAGAGCGCCGCGCTGCGCCACTGACGGCTGAGTACGGTCGGCGCGGCCGGCCCTTTGTACTGCCGCACGGGACCGGCCGGCGCGCTACAACCAGCGCGACCACATCAGGTAGACGAGCACGGCGCCGCCCAGCGCCGCCGCCGTGTAGCCGAGCGGGCGCAGCTGCTGCTTGCGCCGCTGCCACAGCTCGTGCTCCAGCTGTCTGCGGCGCATCTCCTCGACACGCTGCTCCAGCTGTGCTTTGCGCACGCGTCGCTGGCGCAGACCGCTGTTGCTGCCGCCGGCGGAGAGCGAGGGGCGTCAGAGAGCGGCTGACTTAGCGGGTGAACAGCAGGGAAAACGGCCCATGAAAACGGCCGATTGCAGACACACGTCTAATAAAGCGGAATGAAAACCCAACTTATGAAACGTGCATCGCTTTTACAACTCCTCGCCATCCAATGTTAATAAAAATGCATGCATATAGTTATGGGAAACGAGAGTATGCACACAACCCCCACAGCAAAACTAACCTGTCGCTAACCTAGTCCTCACAACTTCAATCCCTCAAATTTAGATCTCTTTAGTCATCATTCACCAAATTACAACCCCATCGGCTATGGCCCCTCGCCATCCCTCCCTCCCTCCCTCTCCCTCCCACCCTCCACTCTCAGCTCACCCGTCGTTCAGGAGCGGGGCGTCGACGAGGCGGGGCAGCCGGTCGGCGGTTCCGCTGATGGCGGACTCTCCGTCTCCGGCGGTTCGCCCGAGGCCGGCGCACGGGGCGAGCTGAGGCTGTGGCTGAGGCGCCTCCTCTTCGGTCGAGTCTGCGACAGACGGCGTGCTGTCAGCACACACACAGAGAGCACGGTCTGAGAGCGGGCCGGGGCGGGGGGGAGGTCATAGCACACCGGACCCGACACACACACAGCGATAAGCGAGCACACACACACACAGAACGGAGTCTGAGAGCGCGACGGGACGAGACACACCCGACGGACCCGACACACACAGCAATTAGCCAATTGGCACGGTCTTGTAAACACGGGTGATTGGGTCGGGGAGTCGGTAAACGGCGTAGTTTACAAACTAGAGTGACAGGGACTGGCGGGTAGTTCATTGAAGTGTCAAGTGAGGTTGGTGAGACTGAAACACAATACGCAGTCGCAGACACTCTGTTCCCCGAAAATTTTCGGGAGAAAGCGTAACATTCGTTGATGCCGAAAAGCATAATTTCGATGACGCTGACTAAGGCAACAAATTTTTGTTCTCGTTTTTAAAGTCCCATCAACGTTGCTCGTTAGCCATTGACGCCCACTATAGGAGTGCTTTCGCAGGCTACTTGGAGGAATTTATGTCGCAAGATTAATGCTTCAAACTTGCATTATCATTACGCAACGCATAAAACAAGGAAACTGAAGCCTGGGCTTCCTCGAATCTCGCGAGTACAAAACAGTGTACTTACTGTGAATGCTATGAAATGAATTGGGAAGGCTGCTTTGTCCCATAAATTTTTACAAGGAGCGACAATCACAAAATGAAAAGCGTGACATGATGGGTCCAAATTGCTAATGAAATGATCTTTGGATTGCGATCAATGTAATAAAAATAGTAAATAAATTGCAGGGCCTCCTCTAAGGAATTTTCACTGGGGGGGCCAGAGGCTCAGAAGTCAAACCTAGGGTACCCCCAAATCCAGTTTCCTCATCGGATTTAGGCCACTTATTTTTCGTCACAGCCCTGATACCATGATTTTCATTTTTAATTTGAAAAAAAAAAATCAAGAAATGGTAGGCTACGTCACCCTACTGGTGGATCCAGGCGGCAGGGTCACATTTTAGGTACCTAACGATCCCGGCAACGTCCGAAATCGACGAAAATTTCTGGCTTTTCGACTTTCGAGGATAAAACAAAATCCCTATATTATAGAAAAATAGTATTAAACGGCACGCAGTGCGTCAGGAATCTAACCAACCGCTAAAAGTGTGAGGGTCAATCTTTCCCACTAACACTGGAATCCATTAACCAACAGCTACCTGCCTGAAAACAGCTCACTATCCTAAAAAGCTACCTGCCTGAAAATGACTTAAGAAACAGGCCACAGGTCAATAGTAATGAAGGCTAGGGACCAGGGTCATTTCAGGAAATGTGCAGCCAATTGATAATCACAAGAATACTTAAAGTTTTGCCACGCTGGGCCACTTTTTACGTGAGTTATTTACGAAAACCCTAGGGGTAGGTCTATCTAACGGCTAACCCCTCAATAAGTGTGAGGGCTTATTGCTTCCAGTCCCAAACACCGGGGAATAAAAACTTTTCCGTGCTCCGCCGCGTTCTCATTTGACCGTAGCAAGATTTCCTCTTCAAGAATGAACCCGTCTCCCGAAAAAAATAGTCCTTCTCCGTGTAGAAGCGTGAGCGTTTGACTGATTGAGAGGGCGACCTTCCGGGACGCTTCCTTCTCAAAGGAATTCATCAATGCCCATGCCCCGTTCGGGCTTCAGTCGGTGTTCGATTATAAAAACTGAACTGTCTGACCTCATTCCGTGGCTCATCTTAGGCAACATGCGGATGTGAAATGTTCTTTGTAGATAAAAAACAACGGTAGGCATTAGAAAACTAAAATTAGTAACGTGGTGATCGTGGAGATAGTCTGGAATCCTGGATTGTTTGTGTGGTACGCTTTTAGTGAAATTTCCTCATTTTTCTACATTATTGGTTTAAAGGGACCCTCCCACCTTCAAAAAAGTTTATGAATTGGCATGAAAGTGATGTCGCTCGGTTCAGAAAGAGCGAAAACGAATATCTAACAAATTTCACCGAAAAATATTCACCGGTTTTCAAGATATTAGACTTTTACTTTTGTTTACTTTTTTGGGATCTCCGCTGTTTCTAGCGACTTTATTTTAGAAGTGCGGCGTTTGCGGCAGATGTTGCGCGCAAATAGCATATACCACCGCGTGCTACAAAACGTTTTAGTCAAACATTTAAAAATCGTTAGATATCTGCGCTGACGTCACATATTCAGAGGGGTATTCCTAAGCATTAGCCCCTCTGAATCAAAATGCTGCAATTTTGAAATTCAATATTTCCGATTTAAGGCATTTCTCGATGTTGTGAGTGCCGAAACCGGTAATTGTGAGCCAGGGACCCCATTTTGGCTATCTCAACTCAAATCTAATGTTAAGGTGGGAGGGTCCCTTTAACTGTGTGGCCCCCCAGTGACGCGATTTCAGCTCCACTGAGGGGGCCAGCGGCATCACTGGGGGGGCCGCGGCCCCTCCCCCCCCCCCCCCCCAGTTAACATGTTAGAGGAGGCCCTGATAAATGGCACACAAAACAAAAATAAAAGCACATCACAAAAAAGCGACGAACAAAGGCAAACTGCATGGCATTAAATGTACTCGTAGATGCTAACAAACGAGCCAAGAAAATGCAACGAAAAGTAGTGACAAGTGCTAAAGGATTGGCGAAAAATACGACT